TCCGATATCAATTGATCCCATTTGTTGAGAACGTGGTTCCAGCATTGTTGAACGACAAAGAAACATGGTTGTCTGCGATGTGGATGCTGGGACATTCGTGTGATACACTATATTAACCATGCGCGATATTCCAGAGACGGGCGCCTCGTCAGCGTCCCAAGATGGCTCTCAACACTCGTTCAACCAGCACGGGGATGACCAGATACACTCGGAGTATGCCCGTGAGGGGACTGATGACCCGCTGGTCGGGACATTGAATGAACCGTAAAGGATACGTGAAATACTTTATTGCGCATGGTCTAACAGTTACTTTTACACAGTATATCCTTCAAGCGCAAACAAAAACGACCATCCCGGTTTAGTCTATCGAGCTTGTTCTCGAATAATAACGAGTCCGGTGCCGGTGATGCTTCCTTCGATTCATCGACTATCCGGAATGGTCAGCCCCCGGAAGATGGGTCATTCTCGAGAGGCAGCGGGCATGGTCGCGGCGAAAATTTGAATGTCCAGAAAGAGGGAGGTCTTCTGGACTGGTACGTGGAGGGACCCGGGCGACGAGTGGGTTATGATGATCAAACGGCCATCGACTGGATATTTGAATACACGAAGGAGCGCCAGAGGAAGAGACTTCTATACTCAGGCAACCAGGGGATTGTTGGATACGCTCGCAGGCTTCTCGATGCTAGTAATGTCTGGCTTATTTTGATCGCTACGGGAATATCGGTGGGGATCATTGCAGCCTGCATTGACGTTGCTAGCGACTGGCTGGGAGACTTAAAGACCGGCTACTGTAAGAACGGTCCTGGTGGTGGGAAGTTTTACCTCAACCGAAACTTCTGCTGCTGGGGACATGATGGTAGGTCTTTGGCATTGGACTTCGACCCTTGGACCAGCTGCTGATGTCACGCCAGATTTCTCCAAATGTCTGGACTGGGTTCCATGGAGGGAAGCTCTGGGAGTGTCGTCTTCTGGCGGAGGCTTTGCCGTCGAGTATATCTTTTTTATCCTTTACTCGGTATTGACTCTCATTGGTTTGTCTGGCCGAACACGATTAACATAGTCACCAGATATTATTTGCCGTGTGCGCTTCTTTCTTGGTCAGAAGCTATGCCATTTATGCTAGGCATAGTGGTATCCCCGAGATCAAGACGATCCTAGGTGGCTTTGTCATCAAACATTTCATGGGGTCGTGGACTCTTGCCATCAAATCCCTTGGCCTAGTTGGTGTCCCCATCCCATTTGGAATACCCCAGTGTGTTAATATGAGCAGTGTTTGTCTGTTGCTTCTGGGTTATGGCTGGGAAAAGAAGGTCCCCTCGTTCACGTAGCATGCTGTTGTGCCAGTCTTATGATGAAGCCTTTTGAAAGTCTCTACCGCAACGAAGGTATGTGGACCAGACGATATTCTCTAATATAGCAACTAATTTTTTTAGCGAGAAAACGTGAAGTTTTATCTGCAGCTGCCGCTGCCGGTATCTCTGTTGCCTTCGGGGCACCCATTGGAGGTGTGCTCTTCAGCTTGGAGGTATGTCTACCAGATTGTATTTAACATCCAAGCACTAATGCATTATCAGCAACTGTCTTATTATTTTCCTGATAAGACAATGTGGCAGAGCTTTGTCTGTGCCATGGTTGCAGCTGTGACATTGCAGGCGCTCAATCCCTTCCGCACTGGGAACATTGTCCATTACCAAGTCAAGTACACCCGCGGGTGGCACCGCTTTGAAATCATCCCGTTCATTATCCTCGGGATTGTGGGCGGTCTTTACGGAGCTTTCATGATTCGCTTGAACATGCGAATCGCCAAGTGGCGACGGTCACGTAGCTGGTCTCGACCGATTTTGGAAGTTACTGTGGTTGCACTCCTGACAGCTCTGGTCAATTTTCCGAACTTATACATGAGAGCGCAAAACTCGGCGCTTGTCCACTCGTTGTTCGCCGAATGTGGCACCACAGGGACTATATCTGATGACCTTTTGGGTCTTTGCAAACAGGGTGCTATCTCAACTACCACAATTGCTCTTTTGCTGATGGCCGCGCTTCTTGGATTCCTCCTTACGTCGATCACTTTCGGTCTGGACATCCCTGCTGGTATCATTCTTCCATCTGTTGCCATCGGCGGTCTATACGGGCGTGCTTTAGGAACAACTTTCAGGATGTGGCACGAGACCCATCCCGAGTTCTTCTTATTCGGCAACTGCCCGCCCGACATACCGTGCGTGACCCCGGGTATCTACGCCATCATCGGTGCCGCTTCGGCTCTCGGTGGCTCCACAAGGATGACTATCTCTATCGTCGTCATCATGTTTGAACTCACGGGCGCTTTGACGTATGTGATTCCAATTATGATTGCAGTCATGTTATCCAAGTGGTGTGGCGACATCTTCGGCAAACGAGGTATCTACGAATCATGGATTCAGTTGAATGAGTATCCGTTCCTCGATCATCGCGATGATACGGCTCCGCCAGATGTACCGGCCTCCAAAGTTATGACCGGATTCGATGATCTGACGGTTCTTCCTGCCGTTGGCCATACTATTGATTCCCTCCGCAACCTTCTTGTGAACACTTCATACCGGGGTTTTCCGGTGGTGACCGATACGTCGAATCCTATACTTCTAGGGTTCATCTCTCGCAACGAACTTTCCTATGCCCTGAAATCCTCGACGTCTCCGGCAGACCGAGAATTACCCGGAACAACCCAGGTCTTCCTTGCCCATCAGCCGTTTGCCGATCCCGCGGACACGCTCGATCTGCGACCTTGGATGGACCAGACGCCTATTACGCTAAACAGTGGAACCACATTCCTTATTGTTCTTCGGATGTTCCAACGACTTGGACTCCGCTATGTCTTGTTCGCTGATAAAGGAGTGCTCCAGGGACTGCTTACCAAGAAGGACATATGGTCTATCATCAATGGAACCGATCTCCATAAATTCGACACTCTGAGACACGATGACTATGGTCGAAGTAATGACGCCGAAGGGGTTGGCTTACTCGATGAGGATGACAGGGACAGTTTTGCGAGTTCTATGGGGCGTCGACAGTCCCTTTAGATAGAGCTATTTTGTCTGTTTTTCTATCTGTATAGAGATCATATGGCTAGGGATTAAAGTTCGAAGATTTTATGGGACATTGTATAAATTTTCAAATTGGTAACTCTGATTCCAATTTACTAGGAGATGTATAAAAGTGTCTCCCCGCCAAAATATACTTCTGAACACTAACATCCGAAATACTATCGGTAACTTAAGGCCTGTCCCATGAGCACAAAATGGCACCAAAAATGATACGAAATAAATCTCCGCATGTATTATCTAAATCAATTCCAGTACAGACCGGAAATTCAAGAAGTTTGAAAATGCCCCTCGAAGATAGTAAATGTCCTCGACCGATGACATACAGGCGCCCCACGGAGTATTTCTGCCGGAACAATTGTCTACCCACCGCCTTCTCGATAACCAATCGGTGCCCCAATTAGCGTCGGCCTTGCATGACAGGCTTCAAGATCTCGGCCAATTTCAACATTGCAAAGACCATATATATCACTCATTCCTTGCGATCTCCCCGGCCCTCAACCGCAAAAATGATGGCGGATCCGTTCGAGGTTCGCATGCGCTTCACAGCGCAGCTGCAGCATTTGAATGCCTCCATTACTTCCTCACAGAAAGCGGCGCATTATGCGCTCAAGTACCGCGACATGGACGAGGACCTTCATTCCTGTATTTTAGAGCAGCTGGAAAGAGTACGCATCATACTATACCGCCCGTGCTCAAACCAAGGATAGTTCGGAACTGACTTTTTTCTCTCTCTCAGAATAATATGAACAACAGAGCGAACATCATGTACTTCATCGAACAATTCTGCGAAATGGCCACCAAAGAAAACCACACTCCCTACGTCCGCATGATACAGAGAGACATCCTGCGCGTCGTGGACTCCGTCGTACCGGCAGACGGATCAGGCGCCGCAAATGTCAAGCACGTCCGTCGGGTGCTCAACGGCCTCCAGACAAAAGAGATCCTATCCGCTGAAACGATCACCGAAATTGACGCGGCGTTGAAGGAGCGAGAGTCACACCAGGCGCATCTGGATCTAGAAGCTGAGGAGGCACCCGAAGGCAGTGCGGTATCGAAGAGTGGCACGCCGCGGGGGTCTCGGCGGGTGGATAAGAGGCAGATCGAGCAGCGGATTGAAGAGGACCGTGAGCGGAACAAGAGACTCCGGGAGAGCATGTGGACAGTTAGTGGGGATGATGGGGATGAACATGGGAAATTTTGGGATGAAGCTAGTGATATTGGGGAGGATGATTTTATTAATGCGAGTGAGGAGTTTGTGGAGCGCCAGAAAATGGTCACTGCGGTTTGAATGCACAGGCTCGGCTTAAGGCTGTTAGTTTGTGAGCTCTGTGCGTTATCAGAGTATTTGGTTTCCCATAGCATCGCGACTCGGAGTTGTTGGGTTTGGTTTTGGAAAGCATCGAAGTCGGATTGGCGTTTATATATGTGGGAGTTTTTGTCACGAATCAATCATAACATAGGATCGAATTTGACCACACTACGGTGGATACCCATATGTACAGTACTGATGGCCACAGAATAGATCCCAACCAAAAGTCATACGCCCATCGAGGAAAGGATGTCGTTTCTAGCCTGATGGTTCATTGATTGTGCTGATTGATAGAAATGCTGTATCCCTCTGTCCCACTGTATAAACCTCAACGCTCCCGCGCCTGATAGCCGTTCCTGATGTGATCCCCTCTTTAGTTAGAGTCACATGTACCTCTCCAGTAGAGCCAACCAAAAAGAAAAGCTGGCAATTATAAACATGCCCGAGCATCTATTTCCAGAACTATATCAAGAGATGAAGCTTATATCAAGTATGTTGAGACCCACTAGAGGGGCTGTCCGCCTTCGGACTAACGTGCCACCGACCAATTTTGATTTCTGCCGAATTTCTTCGATAAAAAATATCCGAGATTCATCGCAATCAGATTGACTCTCACAACGGCCATTTGGTGCTTGCAAAGGGATTCTTCTGGTCCTCTATGTTCTCTCATATCGTCACCGCAGCAAAAGGTCTATTTGCTGGACAAAACTCCGACCCTGACCTGCCCACCAGCGACTCCAGAGAACTCCCCGCGAGCAAATCCAACAAATCCAAGATGGTGACCGCTACGCGACGACGGTCATTCCCACCTGCGGATGAGCAGGAATCGGCAGTCAGTGGGGTGCAGGATACGAATTCGAAACGCAAGTCTGGTGCGACAAAATCCGACAAACCTGAAACGCAGCGCAGTAAACGACGGAAGAGGACCAGTCTCGAGGCGGCCCAAGATAGCGAGAACGGCACGTCCAACGAAAAGCCCGAAGTCGCGGAGGAGCCCTCAGCACAGCCAGAGCAGAACCAGCCTACGAAACATTTCCGATTCGGTAGCGAAGAGCCCGAGTTGCCGTTGGATACGACAGCGGAGGAGCCCGCAGGGGATGAACAAGAAAATGACAGCAGCGACGATGACGACGATGCCCCAGAGCAAGTCAACAATTCCGCGCAAGTGCTCCAAGCTAAGACGGAAGCCAAAAAATTGGAACGAGCCCGGCAAATGTAAGCGCAGTTATACATCCGATCTTCTTGATGGTCCTGGTGGATTCTAACTTTGTCACAGAGAGGAGCAGTTGAAAAGAGAAAAGAGAAAGCAGCTGGACGCTTTGCGCAAGCAACAAGCGAAGAGCTCGACCAAGAAAAGAGAGAGACCGGATGACATGTTATCTGAGAGCACGGAGACCCTTCAAGGCTCGAACACACAGGATGCTAGGCGCTCTGCCCTGCCGGCCCTTCTTCCAGACGATATCCTGAATGCAGAACCCGTTGCGAGACCGCCTACACCGCCAGCCGAAGGCATGGGCATTGTTCACAGAAAGCCTAACAAACTTCGATTCCTCGAGAAATCGGAGAAAGCGCCCAAGGACGTGGATATGGGCGATGTCACCATCCGAGTTCTCGATGGAGACTCGTCACGAAAGAAAGCCAAGACGACGACATTACCGCCGAAGACCGCGAAACCGGCGCGGAATGCCAAGCAGAATTGGTTGAATCGGGGACGCAGCACGGGGCAGGTCAATGGTTTGAGAAGGACCACTGGTGGTACCGGGGGGTTTGTGCGCAAATAGAAGTACAATTGAGGCATGCGCGTAATGAGCAACAGTCTGTATATGAAACTGATAGGATGCTATGCATATCCAGTCTTACATATTCATCACTAACTTGAGAACGATAATTACACTGTAGGGTGGGGGATCATCCTTGTATATGGCGCTGGATGTGCCGGGAATACCATGATTAATGTAAAAGAAATCAACACGCGGTAGATGATATCATCATAATTGCTTTTTTTCTTTCCCCTTCAGTCAAATCTATAAAAATGAGGTTACTTTTCGAACTATGAAAAACGCTGCGTGGAGAGCAGAATGTGATGTCCTACACCGCATTGGGCCAGCCCGTGCACGTGTGGAGCTTCAAGCTATCCTTGGCCGCATTTTCTCTCACCTCCATTCCATCCTTTCGCTTCTTCCACACAACCGCTCCCAACCGTTGTCATTGGCCCCATCCGTCAATGGCGGATTTTTCATAAACCTTACTGAGCCTCAAAACCAGGATGGCCTCGACAGCGGAGACCACGCCGCTCCTTTCACAGCAGCAGCAGCAACAGCAACAGCAGCAACCACCGCCGCCCAATACGTCACCGAGATCCCGCCCACCGAGGACAGTGACCTTCAACCCAACAGCGACAGTCAGTACATACCATGATGCCGCCTCTGCGGATCCTTCGTTCAAATCGCTACATGCTGGCTCCGCTTCAATGTCCAATTCGCGAGGACCGAGCGGACTGTCCGCCTTGAACAGCAAACTCCGTCGTCGCAACAGCCACGGAGGAACCTCTTACAGCACGTCGTATCCGGCCCCAACGTCGGCTCCCAAAGTCGGACCCCAGCGGACGACGAAGAAGGCGCAGAAGCTGAAACTTCTTCCCGACCCGATCACCGAGGAGGAAATCTTGGAAGGCGATACCCCGTCCGATGTCTATTCGCAGATCACCCGTATCAAGGAACCCACGGCCCGGAGTCATGCGGCACGCTTAGGAAAGGCAGACAGGGATCGGGTGCCCCGTGTAACGGCGTACTGTACCGCCAATTCGTACCGATTGGAAGGGGTAATCCGGTTCCTGAAGTCACGGGCCAAGACCCGCGGGGCCAACCCGAAACTGTTCGACGAGTGCGTGTATTCATCTTACGATTACGACTATGAAAACAAGCAGAAGGGGATACGGAGGATGGCCGAGGAGAACGCGGGCGCTCCCGAAAGGCCGGCTAGTGAACGACGATACTCGGACAGCGCCGTCGAAGTTAACGACACGAATAATGTTCGACGAGAGAACCTGATCGATTTTCAAGATTCGGAAGCCCATCCGGACGGGGCGACGACCTCCGAAACGGCAGTCTCATCAGCGCACGATGCAGAGACGCCTGATTTCGACACCACAATCCACACGCCAGAAGTCTTCCTTTTCGACTACGGCACGGTCGTCATATGGGGCATGTCGCCCGCGCACGAGTCCCGCTTTCTCTCCGACATCTCCAAATTCGCAACCTCCATCCTCAGCCCGGAAGACACGCAGATCGAACATTTCAACTTCTACTACGCCCGCGAGTACCAAGCCCGGATATACAACGACTTCATCTCGCTCCGTGACCCCCGAAATTACATGATCAAGCTCGCCATCTCGCACGCCCTCGCACAGTCCGTGAAAACATCCCTCTTCGAAGACCTGGTGTCCGAGACCATCTCGAACACGGCCCCTCTCCCGGCGCAGATCGCCCAAACGGGCAGCGTCAACCTCACCCGGCGCCAAATCAACATGCAAATCGGAGAGCTGTTTATCCTGCGGATCAACATCCACTTGCAAGGGTCCGTCCTCGACAGTCCGGAACTGATGTGGGCCGAGCCGCAGCTGGAGCCGGTGTATCAGGCAGTGCGAAGTTACCTGGAGATGGACCAACGAGTCAGTCTGTTGACGGAGCGGCTGGACGTGATTGCAGATCTCCTGGCGGTGTTGAAGGACCAGTTAACTCACCGCCACGGTGAGTATCTCGAATGGATCGGTACGTACAACAGATATTTCCCCAGTTTTATATGGTTGCTAACGATCGACGACAGTCATTGTTCTCATCGCGGCAGAAATCCTCGTCGCAGGCATCAACATCGTCGTCGATCTGTACGCGGGAGTTGAATAGAAACGTCATTAATGGGTTTACGCTATCGAACATGCTACAGCACTTTCTTTCTTTCTTTTTTTTCTTTGCCGTTTTCTTCTTTCCATGTTTTTCATTCATTAAGGGGCAAACTGTTCCATTCTTTTCTTTTCTTTTCTTTTTTCACCCCCCTCCCCTCATCTGTCTATTCTTCCTACGGAGTTGGGTACAGCGCGGGCAGGCTTGCATCATCATCCAACATCACACATCGAGAAAATTGCCATCACACTATACAAATCGACACTTGCAACGACAACAGCAGCAGCAACAGCAACAGCCGCAGCAAAACAACCTTCCATGTATCATATAATTTCTACCATGTTAATATGGAGAATCGAAAGGCTCAAATATGATTCTACCGCTTGAATGAACATCCATTGCTCATGTTTCCTTGAGAGCACATAACCTATCAGAGATTGCATTTCTCTTGCCCTTGCCTTTATCACGATGCCATCTCTGAAAAGGTCTCTGACAAGAGACTCAAATGTATCCATGTTGAAAGGACGTGTGTTGTATAATGCAAGTAAATGGTAAAAAGAGACAGACCCATATCGCGTAACAAATAGTGAACAACCACAATCTCAACAACTCCCAATCTGAACGGACAAAGAAAAGCTCCTCACATAAGACACAAAAATAATTAGAAAGAAAAAAAAAATGAAACATGTCACTCCCAAACCAAATTACACATACAAGAAATAAGACAAAAATAAATTAAGACAGGACAGGAAAAAGGAACTCAAGAAAGAGGAGGAATCAAATCAACTCTCCTCCTTCGGCTCCTTCATGTCCATATCCATTGGCGTCGTGGCACCCTCATCGTCCTCAGGTTCCGGCCCCCGCGAGCCCTCCGGGGGTTGTTGACTGCCGCGGTCACTGCCCTCGTTGGGATTGCTCTCCTTGTCGCCATTGCTGCCGGACTGGACGCGGAAGGACGAGGTCATGTCGTCCTGCGAGGGGGCCGGGGCCAGGCGCGGGAGAGTCGAGGACCCGACTACGGTGGAGGGTTCCACGGCGTTGGTGGCGGAGGCGGCGTCGTCGTCACCGAGTTCGTTGGGAACGTTGGACTTGCGGGAGCGTTTGACGCGGAGGGGACGCTCTTGGGGCTATACAATTATATTAGCTAGAGATGGATAAGAGGCAGACAGACGTCTAGCTAGGACAGGGGAGGGTAATAATGGAGGAAGAAAGAAAGAAAGAAAGGAAGAAAAAGGTTAATAACATACAGTAGGAGGCTGCTCATCCGAGCTCCCCTCCGTCTCATCCTCATAATACCCCGCAGCAGACTCCCCATTCTTCTTCTTCTCCTCGGCGATACCATTCGCGCCAGCAGCAGACGACATCAATCCCGCGGCGCGGGCACGCAGCTCGGAGCTAACGCCGCCGGCCTGAGCTTCCTCCGCCATGCCGGTGACCTTGGCGAGGTGCTCGAGCAGGATGCACGACTCGAGGCGCATCTTCTGAATGTACTGCCAGCCGCGGCGGTTGCGGACGCTCATCATCTCATTTTCGGCCTCGATCTCGCTGAGGCGTTTTTTGAGGGCGATGCATTTGCGCTTGTAGGCGACTTCCACGCTGGGTGGGTTCGAGGATGGTAGGGAGGTGTGGTGGGCTTTAGTGGTTTCCATTTTGTTTTCTATTTCTTAATTCGTCTCTTTTGTCGGTACTCCTCTGTCTCTTGTTTGAAGCTCGTTGGGACGATGGAAGGGTTAGGCGGCGCGTTTCTGATCTTGTGTCGGGACTGATGTGGTCGAGCGCAAGATTGGTGTGAGGAGGGAGAGACGCAGGTGGGGAATAGTTGTTGGAAGATCGGTAAGGAGGTATAAATTGCTGCGGCGACTCGCTAACAAGGCGCGAACAAGCGGTCTTGTCACTGCTTCTGGGCGGGCAATTTGCCGGTTAAGGATGCGACAGGCGAATGCTCCCTTTCCAGTCCGCACAGCGTCCGCAGTTGCTTCCGGGTGAGGATCGATGGGTACGGGGGAGGCAGAAGGCGTGTCCCGAAAGTCTTGCCCTTAACCAACAGTCAAGAGTCACAATGCGAATGGAGGCTGGAGAGAGGAAGGACAATGAAGTAGGAAGTTGCGAAGTCGAAGAACAATCGAAGGATGAACGCTGTCTCTGCCTGAGGCTGGGATGGCGGATGCGTTCTGCCGGTCGTGCTCAAGGCGGTCAGCCATGATGCTGTACAGACCATCTGCGATCGTCTTCAACGGAGTGCATTACATTTACGGCTAGAATTTCCTATTATCATAATTCCATTCGCTAATTATAAAGCAACGCTACTCTGAAATACCCAGAACAAAATCTACGCCAACACCTAATGGCCACCGGTGGTGGGAAGACCCAGGAACACCTTGAACGAATCATAGCTGGAGATATCGTCAATAACGCTTCAGTTCCATCTGATAGCAGGTAGGGAAGGACTTACATCAACCACTGGAAACCAGTCAATGTACCTAGCATCACAATACGAACAGGGAGGCCGTTCCACAGCCCTGCAAATCCAATGTTACGGTAGATCCGCGACACCGCTGTCGAGGCCGACTCCCCAGCTGCATCAATCAGTACGACCATTCCATCAAAGCCAGAAGAACGAGAAAAGAAAAGAAGAAAAAAAACATACCCTTGCGATCAGCATTCAACTTGCTAACCATAACATCAGCCGGATGGCTAACAACCGCACAAAAGATGCCCGCAATATAGCCCCCCAAAAAGCTCACCCCGGTCTGCGGCAGCATCCCAAAGCTCTCCTTCGGCCTGCCCAGCGCCCAATAAAGCCCACTAACCGTCTCCTCAAACGTCGCGAACTTGGTCATCGTGTACGGAATCTGACGAGCCCACAACGGCGCAATGCCCTTATAGAGACCCCCCAGCCCCTCCTTAGCCGCAACCTTCCGCCAGCCCTCGCGCAGGGTGCCCGCGTAGGGCGGCAGGGTAGTCTGCATGCGGACCTTGACAGCCTCGAAGGGGCAGAGGGCCATGTCGGCGAAGAACTCGGCGGAGGCGCTCGCGCCGAGGAAGACGAGCGTGCGGTTCGAGTTAGGGAAGAGCTGCTCGCCGTAGAGGTACTTGAAGTACTCGTAGAAGCCGTATTTGCCGGCTCCTTGGAAGGAGTAGCCCACGAGGGTGGGGGTCCAGCCGAAGAAGACGCCGCGGAGGCCTTCTTTGGCGAAGATGGAGCGCCATGCGGAGAGGTTGGAGGTGTAGATTTTGGGGTCGACTTGGCGGCGGCATTTGACGAGGTCGAGGGGGGTGACTGATGTGTGTGTAGGTCCTGTTCATACTGTATTAGAGGGTGCTGACTGCGTAGTAAAGATAGTTGCGAAACGTACCACAAGCTGTACATCACGGAGATCATCCTATCAGTATTCAACTCATTCATCGCAATTGACAAAATACTGAAACCTACCGATAATCCCACCAAGCGTACAACTAGCAAAGTACTTCGCGGTGTTGGGCTCAATCTTCCCAAAGGGGAGCTTGCGCTCTTGCGCGGGGGGTGCCATTATCTGAGAGAATATCTAGGAAAGCCTCGACTGGATGCTTTAGACAATTGGATTAAGCCAATGATTTGACTCTGACAGCGTAGAGTCTAGCAGGTAATCAATAGTATGAGGAGTCTATACAAAAGCAGCAAGTGTTTATGTATGGGCGAAAAAAGCAAACACAAACGTATTAAAAAGAAAGCCGGCTAGAACAGGATGTATTCTCCGTTGCAGCAAGTAGACCACTAGTTATCACTCATCCTGTTATCCCAGGCCTGGACTCGTGGTTACATCATGTCTCATCCAGGTCCTGTCGACCCATCAGAGGGATTCCATCCCCGGTGCTGTATGACGTCACCTGCTCGTCACGTAACCAGCCAGTCCAGTGAGTAACTGTGGCTCGGGCTATTGTTCCTGATTTGGAAAATATTGTTGTGAATTAGGGCAATTGTAAACCTGCGAAACCTGTGCTGGCATAGGTTTATCCCACGATCTATATTCAAGAAGTGTGGGATCCTCCAGATTAACGTGCTAAAGAACTTGGCACGAGCTAGCTAGTTAGTAGTATGTATAAAGTCCGATCTTCAAGGCACGCACGTCAAAAGTAATGGACGCATTATTGATTGATTCTTCAGAGGTTCTCAGTCAGATGTCCAGCCCAAGCAAGCAAACCAAATAGATATACATAGCCACAGGGAAGCCTAGATGAAACGATATACAGGAAGCGAAAAGACCTTCCCCGTCCGCTGCCCAACAGCCAGACGAGTCGGCTGTACATGGTAGAAGGTAGGTAGTAGTATGTTATAAAGAGAGCATATACAAAAAAGCGAAGAAAAAAAAAGAGAAGGGTATCGTATAGTATGGACAGTTGATAGTGGGAGCAGACAGTTTTACATCTGCGAGAACTGTCCCATCACCGGCACAAACTGGTAAAGGTCAGGGATGGACGGCGCCGTAGTCGGCGTGTCGCACTCCTGCGCCAGCATCAGCGCCAGTCGGATCCCCAGCGCGGAGCCGACCTGGCCGATCGCGCTGCGGATCTGCTCCGTCTGGGCGGGAGTCGCCATCCCGCACGACAGGATGTACCACAGTGGCCACAGCATCATGTATCCGAGGAACCCCCGGATGCGGGGCTTGCCTTCGGGGGGCGGTGGGATGGGGTTGCCTTGCATGTCGATGTGTCCGAAGGCGAAGGGGATGCTGCGGCAGGTGGCGGAGATCGCCTCATGGCTGATGCCGAGCGCTTCCTGCTCGCCCTGGAGAAGTGCGCTGTCTCCTGTCGCCGACACGAGAGTGCGACTGAGCTCGACCATGATCTTTTGGACAATAAACCGGATCGCCCAGTAGTAGATCCAGATGCCGGCGATCGAGATGCGCCGGTAGGTGAGGAGAGGCTCGTCCGTCTGGGAGTCGACGACGAGCGGGAGCCACTTTTCGGGTAGCGCTTCGCTCCATTGGGTCAGCTCCGTATCCATGGCCCGACCAGCATCGTGCCACTCGAAGACACGCCGGAGAAGGTCCGCGTCAAGCGATTTGGGAATGGACGACGTCTCCAGTGCCAGTTGACTGAGTTTGGACGCGATCAACATCAACCCATGGATGGGATCGGACTTGTTCAACTGCTCGAGGATCCAATCGGTGTTATATCGCGGTCTTTCCCCGAGCACCAAAATCTCAATGTGCTGCACGTCTATCAGCATGTACTGTCTCGCCTTTCGCCTTCAAATGTAGTCACTGACCGTATGTGCGTATGCAAAACTGAACAGATCGCGTCCCTGCGCATGACCCAGCTGGCTTTCACCCCGCAGCTTCATCAGAAACTCAAACCCCGCCGTATGGGAGCTCGTCAGACCTTTGCGATCCCCCGAAATATCCTCAAACAACGACAGAAGAACCATAGCCGAGAAGGTCTCGTCCTTTACAGCCTGTTCGCGTGACTCCAGCGCCTGGCGGAGACCCCGAAGCGCCATCCCGTAGCGGTCGCGAGCCTGCAGCATGAGGGACGGGGCTTTGACCTGGTTACTCAACGTTACCAAGGCCGTGGCCCCGACAGCCCACTGTAAACACGAGGATACAGGCCCGCCAGGCCCACCGTCGCGACAGACCGCATACAGCGACGGCAGAAAGCCCAAATGGCTCAGACACTCATCGCCCTGGTCCTTGGTCGTGTACTGGTCAAAAAAGTAGCAAACAGCGCGCTCTTCCCACGTCGAGTCATCAAGCCGCCGCAGCGACAGCGACTGGCGGGCGCTACGGAGAGAATCAGACCGTCTACTGCGCGGGCTCTCCACAGGCGACTGGCTCGCCCTCTGCATCAGCTGCTTCACTTTCTGCGTCTCATGTCGGAATATCGTATCCTGCCGATATCCAGGACAAGGTCTGCCGTAGACTAGACAGTTGCGGCATTCCGGAAGCGCCTCGTCGCACTGGACATGACACGGTTAGCGTTAAGCAGGGAACAGGGGCCTGGGTGTTTTTGCTTCGTCTCGGGTCCTACCTTGATCTTTCGCTTCCGACACAAATGGCAGCCTGTGCTTGGTTTACCCCCATAGACCATCTTTGCCGTTCTGGAACTCTCGGGTGGGACAAGCGTACGGCAGGAACCCTATCTGGATCGTCTGTTAGACTTGGAATGCTGACACGCTGACGCAATGAGTCCGGCCGGCCTGGCCATTGGACATGGTGAAATCGGATCGGCAGAGCGCAGGATGCGGTGGTGCTCTCGTCTTCTCCTTGACTTTGCTGTAGGGTTCGATCGAAAGAGGTATATCGCGGATCGAGCGGAATATCGTGGGGTATTCGCACTATCAGTATCCACGTCCCAGATCAGCGATCAGAAGATGGAGATGAAGACCGGACGGGCGCTAGTCCGGTGTTCCTGGACTGGGCGGAGAAAACATCCACGCGGCGTTTAGTCATCGCCAAGCCAGTTGAAGTATAGGGTGCTGATAGATGCGATCGTTTTCGCATGATGTCCCTTAAATCAAGTAATATCTTTTTTTTGAGAAATCTATTCAAGGTATCTAGATACTCGGAATGAAAACAAACAACAGTCGCACCGTCCGTCCGTTCCACCCGACCGCCTTCCGTTCGGGATGGCGGTCTATCCTCGCCGTTTTACTGCCGCCATCCGATAAGCGATAACAGCTTTTGCTTCCTCTGTGCTCCAGCGAAGCTTTCCACTCTCCATACTCTGCAGAACTTTGACCGAACCCTCTCCGACGTCTCGCAGAACTCCTCAACATCCGTGATAGGCTAGTTATCACTTCAGGAACGGACCGGGACGGGACGGGGAAAGGGGGAGCTCCTCTAAACGGACGACCGGTTCTTTCGTTCCGTTCGTGGCGTTCTTATATCTAGAATGTTAGTAGTTAGTTTGCTGGGTACTTCATCTCATGCGTCATGGCTGTCTGTCCCATTCGCGTGTTTACGGCTCCCCGCGGGTCGTGAGGACTACGGTACACGTGGGGTAGGTATCGCTTAGATACGGGGAGGGATGGTGGTACTGTAGAAGATGGTACATTACGTAGGTGGGAAGTCAAGCTACCGTAGTTATATCCTTTCATACTTCCCGGTCACATACATCCGTCAACAAACTTGAAAGAAAAAAATGGCATATTTCGTTCTTTGGTAGATGACAAAGTATATCAAACCCCTGATGGTGGGTATCTCTGTATAACAGGAAAAGGGTGACAGGCGGGAAAAAAAAAAGACAAAAACGAGGTCCAGTTTAGAAATTCGCCAAGAACCAGAAGGGAATGGCTACCGTTTATACGCCAGCACGCGCAAAAAAAAAAAAACCCAGGATAGAAGTAGAGGACTTCCCACAACTCCAAGATGTTGGTTCGTTTGATTGAAAATAGTGGGTAGAGTGAGAGGGGGGTAGAGAGGGAGGGAGAGGGAGAGAGAGGAGGCAATAGGGTAGGGAGGATAAGGCAGGAAGGAAGTGATAACCAACACCCAGAAATGCAAATGCGGCCCTTCCACGATAGATTATAGTAGGCCAGGGGCCCCGCGACTGTCCGATCCGCCGGAGCCCCAGAAAGCCGTAGAACAAAGGAGGTTGATGCTCCTTCGTGTTGTCAAGAGGAAACGAGAATGGCGAAAAGGAAAATACATGACTGTCATATTCGAGCGTTCAATCATGGGTGCAGGGATGATCAGGACGCCGGGGCATCCTCCATCGAATGGTCGTTGTCGCTATGGGAGAGCGCTGGTGTAGGGTCGGAACCCAGTAGCTGGCGCTGATTGCTACTTGTTGAAACAAACCCTGGCGTACTGCAGGCACTCTCGATGATCGCCGCTTCGTCACGTATTTCCTCGGGGGGTGGCGAAAAGGTCCACACCTACAGGAAGAGTTAGGTCCATTGCGGAAATTAGCAAGGCAAGAAGCGAGACTGACCTCCATTACTGTGCGACCGGAACGGCTGGCCATGATGACCGCTTTTTCCTCCTCGAACGCAACCCGCCAGACCGCCTCTGCGGGGGTGGATAGTTCCCGGAGGAGTTGCCCGGTTCGCAGACTCCACACCTTGACCCGGCCATCGCTCCCGCCGCTGACGATGCGAGAGCTATCGAACTGGAGACTCGTCACGCTATTGTCGTGGGCGGCCAGTCGGTGGATCGGCGCCATTCTTGTCAGGGACCAGACACGAACAGAACCATCGGATCCTCCGGTGACCAGCGTGTCGCCACGCATCTGCAATTGCCCGACGAGCGAAGTATGTCCTTGGAGGATGGCCTGACACTGACCGGACTGCGGGTCCCAGATCCGCACGCTGGTATCCAGACTGCCCGTTGCTATCCTCCGACCGTCAAATGCAATCGCGTAGATCTGACTGAAATGACCGGACAGCGTCCGTAGGCACCGTCCTTCGCTGATCGTCCAGATACGCGCGGTCGTGTCGTAACTGCCGGACACGACCAGGTCCCCATGGATCGCGAGGCATCGAACGCTCGCTTGGTGCCCGACCAAGACGTTTCTGCACGTGCCGGTCGCCAGATCCCATATCCGCAGGGTGGTGTCTCGGGATCCGGAAATAGCCGTGTTCTTGTCGGACATCTTGAGACAACGGACCGTGGACGTGTGTCCCCGTAGAAGATACATCGAAGCCCTGTACAAAGTTCATGCCCGTCAGCCACACGTCATTCTGCGCACAAAGAAGGTTTTTTTTCCCGGCCGCCGCTTACCCCGTAGCCATGTTCCACACCCGGACCTCCCGATCGCAACCCCCGCTCACAAGGATGTCATCCCACGGAACCATCGCCCATACGCCCATTACATGCCCCTGGAGGGTCCTTTGATTATCACCGTTGGTATCATACACATGGATCCTGGCATTATCCAATGCGACGACGATGTATTTGGGGGTTAGGTGCAAGCTGGTCACTACCCCTTGGTCAGGAGTGATGTGCCGCTGGGTGCACCGCCCACCCCTATTCCAGGCCGACTCCACCATGTATTTTTGTTTGAAGTGCGATCGGTAAGACAGCGGTCGACTCCGGCGTTTCCGTGACGGGAGAGAGGCCGATGAGAGCCAGTCTCCGGACAACGACCGTGGGAGGGTGGAGATACCGCCCCGGGACTGAAGATTCGATGAGTGGGAGGCTCTCCGCAGTGCTCCCATAGAAGTTGAACTGGACAGCGGGTGAAGCGACTGGTTGTGGAAGGGGTCGACAAAGTCTCGATCGTCCGACAGCCTCCGCGATGCGTAGGCGTGTTTTTCGCAAAGGTTCTTCCAGGTAATATCGTCACACAACAGATCTCGCCACCGGTATGACACTTGAGATGCTCGTGCGAGGGTCTTGGGGTCGTCGATGAACGAGAGAACCTAAGACGCAGGGAGATGATTAGCGCCACCTTCGAATCAGGGGGAAAAGAATGACCGCCGCCATCAGGAACCAAACTAACCCTCAGACACAGTTCGTCGGGAAAAACCAGAAAGGGGTCTTTCCTCAAACGTGGACCCACGTAGCTCGACACAAAACTGAGATTTTGACTATCACAGAGACCCAGGATCCCCTCCAAGAACCGTTGTTTCTTGGGGTTGGACAACGAACTGAACTGGATGCGAGCGTTGAGGAGAAAGGCGTCGTCATCCTCGTCGGTGGACGCCCACAGGGGGGGTCGGTGGTGAGGGGTCGGACTCGGAGCCGGGGTGGGAGGAGAAGCCGGAGCCGAGGGTAACAGGTTGGGAGGGAGCGAAGGGAGGGTCTTATTGGAGGACGACAGTGATCTCGAGTGGTTGCCGGCGAGCGACGCGACTGAATCCTTGGCCGCACATGATTGAGAATGCGAATGGGCAGCCGCCAGCTGCTCGGAAAGAGTCCGCGTATCCATCCCGCTGGTCACCGATTCGACGAAGATTTATCAGGCGCTGGGCTGCGACGTTGCTGTATCGGATCATCCGCTAAACCTAGCCACCGAACCAAAGCTTCAGGGGAATATTATCGATGGATCCTTGCACCAAACTCTCTCGAGGCTGCTTCATTCATAGGGTCCAACGGGGGGTTGTATATTATCGATTTCGTCCGGACACGAGAGATACCGAGAGTTGACAATCGTGAAAGGAGGAGAGGATAAAAAGAAAACGGAAAGAAAGATAAAGGGGGAAAACCGAAGGGAAAAGAGAGAAGGCGAGAGAGAGGTAGGTACGAAGTGGGCTTGCCCCCCGATAGGCGGTTGGAGAAGCTGGCGGTAACCGGAGAATAGGGGAGGGGGGGGCGTGTGGTAGGATAGGCGATGATGATTGAATGATGGCACCAGCAAATTAATCTAGTGACGGGAGTATGGGCGTGCAGGATCAAGAGGGTACCCAAGGACAGAACACTTAGATCCAATAAAGCCCAAAGTAGGGAAGAAGTAAAAAAGAAGAATACAAAACCAAAGAGGTGGAGAAAGGAATTAAAAGGGAAGGGAAGAAAGAAAGAAAAAAAAAAGAAAGCCTGAGTTGAGATGGAAAGGCAGAGAGAGAGAGAACGAATCCGATGATTGAACTCTGCGACCAACTACAACAAGGCGACGAAGAGAAAGCAAGAAAAGGAACAAGAAAAGGAACTCAAACAAGAAGAAGAATAAGAAACCTGCTAAAGACCAGTCGGGATCATGAGACGGCGTGACCTTGAAAGGCACGAAAGAGAGCGAGAGAAGAGAGAGGTCAGGTGTTGGTTGTCACAGCCAGAGGGAAACTGCGCCAAGCATGCAGTCAGCGTTTTAGCTGGTTGGACCTTTGGAGTGATTAGTTACTGATTAGTCGTCCAAGTCAAGTCGCTGAATGAGGATGGATGAGGGATCCACTCTGGCAAACTTGCTGGGTGGAGAACCGGAGTTAGTTGAATTCCAGATGGAGATGATCAAGCCCGGTCGAGGGAAAGACCGTGAGAATGGAGGGAGAGATTGAAGATATAGTATGGAGTGGGGATAGTGACCATCCGGTACCTACTTCTCCCCTCTCCTTGGAACAATATCGTCGCAAATAGGATCAACAAATCTCGTGGTCTCTTGTCATCCTCTTGATTTCATTCCTTACGGTCTATTCCTCGCCTGGAACAAAACATCCCCGACCCATCCGAACCCGAGCTCTCCCAACGCCCCAGTGCACAGATGGAGATGGGAAAACGACGATCTGATATGCGCCTCTCCACTTTTTCCTCGTGTGGAGCGTGTCTAGAGTTAAACAGCCCCGGTTGCACGAGGGCGACTCTCCCTGCAAGGCTAAAAGTCTAGCTAATTTCGAGAGCGGCGCAGGGGTCAGGATGGACCGGGAGGCGTTGTCTACGGAGGTAAATCAATACCCCCAGAGCTTCCGCTGCAAACAGACAGAATGACGGTCCTCGGGTGGAAGTCGATGAGACTCCCAATAAACATAGTAGGTGGTACGGCTAGTTGATCTTGGCTGGGATGGCCTCGGACTCGTGAGGCAAACAAATTCGACGTTATCAATAGGTTTCTCGTTAACCTTTTTTCTGGTCCGATTTCCCCGCGGCTGTCAACCAAGGAACGGGAGAAACGGTCGGTGATGCTGGATGTGGACGGATGCTTGTTATCAGATACCGATGGTGGCTTCTCTTATAAATTGACTTTGGTTCCCAGCATCTGGTTCTTCCCGGGTCTTTTTTTTTTTTCTTCTTTGACACCTTGTACAGCGGCCGACCGGACTTTTATTTTATATACGGCTACGGGAATTGTGAGGCTTACGGCGATACGTCAACGTGACGAGTCTATTGAAATCGATGACCAGGTTCAGACGTCAAATGACTACCTTGGAACGGATCCACGCAACAATAAAAAAAAGTATAGATTGCACCATATGAGTCTCGGGTATAAGGCGAGAGCTCCGGAAGGTTGAATCAAGAGAAACCTTGGCGCTAACCTCCCGGTTCTGCTTCCGCGTGATGACCTCTGCCCATGTCGGACGAGGTTGACGTATAAGGACAGAGAATGGGATGAGATGTGAGGGAGCGGTCTAAGGCTCAATGGGCATGGCCGATCTGCAGAAAGAGCGGCAGCGTCATGCCAATCACCGAGGCGATCAGGTCTCGCATTGACTTGTCGGACTTGTCGGGTATATCCCGAGGATCGCCGTATCCATTGACCTGGATCTCTCGGGATCCCGAGTTGGGGCTGTTTTCCTGCATCGTATGCATAGCAACGTACCTATCAAACAAATATCCGTCAGTACACTCTTATAATAGTCAAAATGATGAGGGGGAAAGGGTGCCAAACTCACAGGAAGGTGCCGGCCGAAAATAGTAAAAGGATGCCAGTCCGCCAGTGCGTGCCGGTCTCGTCACTATCCGACCCTCCACCCATGATGTGGACAAAGAGGAAGGTCACCAAGGCACCCACGGGGGCTGCCAGGCTGAACACCAACAGATGTGCCCTCGCAGCACGGCTGGAGATGCCCTGTTTCAGTAGAACGGATGTGAGACCGAAGGATGCCGGGGCCTTGTGGACCATGATGGCGAGGAAGATGATGAAACTGAGGCCCGTATCGGAACTGGAGGCCCCCAGGGCAATACCGTCTGCTGCGGCATGGATAACCAGACCCGTGGTCGTGGCAAAGCTGTGGCTGCTTCTAGGCACGTTCCCAGCGTTAAGGAGCCCCCCTTCCCGGGAGGGCGAGGAGTTGCGCCGTAGTCCAGACCCCAAATTGTCCAAAGAAATGTGATACGGTGTTCGTTCTGATTTGGACGAGGCGGCGAACTCGGGGAGCTTGTCGATAAGATACATCAAGATGAAACCGCTAATGAGCGCGATTCCAATCCAGGCATGGGGCGAGCGCTCTTCGTCCTCATGGCCCTCCTCTGTCTGATCGCTCGACGATGATTCTTCTTTTCTTTCGTAGGTGTCGCGGGTCACGCGCACCGTAGGAGGCAGACCATATTCTTCCTCGGAAGCGTGTAGAGTCGAGTCGGATAAGTCGCGGACTTGCGGTACATTGTGAATTCGAGGGTCCGCGACGGCGGGGATATCGTTGCGCGGCCAGTTGACGGCCGAGCGGGCGCTAATTTCTTTGTGTGATTTGGGCGCAGCGGTCGCGCTGTATAGAGTTTCGACGCCCTCTGGAATAATAACAATCAAGGATGTGCCGACCAACACACCCATGCCAATGGAGGAAATCAATCTGAGCTGCGAAGGGGACAGTGTGAAGGCAAGGGGCAAGGATCCCACAACAAAGGACCTGCAGCACCACCGAAAAGAGAATTGTCAGCCACCTGTATCGAGCGGGAAGAGCGGAAGACAAAGACGAAAAGACTCACGTCACTGCCATCACAATGCCCAATGCGAGCAGTGTAAAGAGTCCCTCCATGATCGGCTTCTCGTCCCTAAGCGTTTGGTCTTTGATTTAGAGGATCTCGATCATTGTGCCAATACCACAGTTATCCCAGGGAGCGCAAAGTCGACTATTCCTGACGATGATGCTAGCTCCCTTGTCGAACCGTTATTTGATTGTGTTCTTTGTTGAAAGAAGGTCGTTTGAGGGTGGGGGGGGGGGAGGGGAGGAAATAGAAGGAAGGGGACAGATTTGTCCTTTTCCGGTGGGACACGGGATAGAGACGGAGATACGGAGACGGAACACAGGGCCAAGGCAATCCAGGTAGTATCTTTGGGCTGAGCTTCTAAGGGACAAGAGTACTGTACTAGTGGTACTTCTTTGGTACTGCAGGAACCGAAGACGTGTGGCGCGTAGACAGGCCGATTAATATTGCGATCCGCCGCAGTTGGAAAGAGATTCAATCAACTATCGCTCCCGGCCCAGCCCAGACACTGGTCAGACCCACCCTCACCGCCAGGGACAGGCAGTACTTCAATTTCATCAATCTGGAATGATGAGCATCCACTTCCGGATTGATCATTTAGATCATTTATAATCAATCTTGGTACTTGGTGTCATCGTAGTTGACCCTGATATTCAAGTTTAAATGTTGGATATGACTGAAACCCGCGACTACGGATTACCTTACAAGCCGAATGTCCACATGAAGTAATGGTCGCCTCGGCTAGTAAATCCGAATCATGCATGAGGCGTTTGCCATCAGACGGAAGAGGCAGACCGGAAACAACTCTACTCCGCTTCTTGCAGGCAACGTCCTTAAGCTCAGTCTTGAAGGTGGTTTCCAAGCCTTCTATCCCGGATGATTCCCCGGGGAGACTAACCGGACACGGTTAAACGAATACGTCCGTCATGCAGGCTGGGTTATGCATCTGGCATTCGGTTCCTGGTCCGAACCTGTATGGTATGAAGAGAAGTCACATAGAGAGAGAAAGACACATCCTGTCCTGACCAGTCATTGTTATCTATAAAATGAGGTTGATATCCATATGGTTCCTATTGGATGTATGTCCAGGTGAATCACACTACCTCGGGTTACCTCGGTATATTCTCAACAGTCCCATCTTTACCGGGGACCGACTATAAAAGCCGGGTTAGCACCCGCAAACTGGGCAGAATGTCGTCAGCTTAAACAACGAACCGTCAGTCAATACTACCTCTTCAGATCGACAACCTTTGCTCCCCCTGCACCATCAAGAAAGACATCATGTCCGATGCCACCGCCCCGCAACGGATCGCATTGATCGGGTTAGGGACCATCGGGATGTCCTTCGCCGGACTCCATCTCGCCCGCGACAACACAACGGTAGACGTCTACGATACGAGACCCGATTTCGAGCAATACCTTTTCGACACGCTCCCGCACTTCTTAGTTCAGCCGGAGCAATCAGGAGAGTCGACCGCGGAAGATGTCAGTACCCGCCAGGGGGCAGTCCGGTCGCTAATCGACGCTGGACGTCTACACATCCACACCTCCTTAGAGACGGCCTGCGCCTCGGCAACCATCATCCAAGAGCAAGGGCCTGAGAGTCTCCCATTCAAGCAGTCCCTCTGGGCGCAAGTAGAGGCGATCGCGCCCGCCACCGCACACTTCTGGACCAGCACGTCGGGGATCCCAGCGTCGAAGCAGCAGGCCCAGTTGCAGGACAAGACGCGACTCCTCGTCGTGCACCCGTTCAACCCGCCGCACATCATGCCTCTACTGGAGATCGTCCCGTCGCCCGAAACCGCGACGGAACGGGTGGACTTCGTGCACGGATACTTCTCCGTCCCGGGGTCGAAGCACCGACCCGTCGTGATCCGCAAGGAGATTCCCGGATTCGTGGGGAATCGGCTGGCGTTCGCGCTGCTGCGGGAAGCGTGCTACCTTGTCAAGGAGGATGTGGTGTCCGTGAAGGATCTCGACACTATCCTCATGGCGAGTCTGGGACCCCGCTGGGCGGGCAATGGCGTGTTTGAGAGCTATCAGCAGGGTGGTGGCCCGGGGGGTATCGGGGAATTGTTGGAGAAGTTGAGTGGGACGGTGCAGCATGTCTGGGATGGATTGGGTCAGGTGAACTTGCTGGATGAGGAGGGGGCGGAGTGGAAGGAGAAGGTGGTCAAGCAGACTAATGAGGCTTATGGGACCCTCACTGCCCCACAGCTTCGAGAAAAGGAGGAGAGGTTGAAGGATTTTGTGAAGACACAGAGCAAGACGTATGGGTATGATAAGTCTGATGTATAGTTTGCAGATCCAAATTAAATCTACTAGATGTTTTCATATAAAGTTGAGGTTTTTCTCATGCTGTGACGATCTACTTCTATAGTCACTTCGATGATGCCCTTGTACAATCACGAACGTGCTTCTACGGAGTACAAACCCTGTTTATCCGAGCATTGGTTTAAATCCATGTCACCGCTATCTAACCCTAAGACCGCCTACCTTAGTTTTGAAGTATGCGAAAGGAATTACAAGTGCTTCTTGTAATGATGGAATCCGGCTGTTAGGAAGGCGAGGCATGACAGAAGCTAACAAAGAGTACTACAGGAAAGGGCAATTGTATTGAGGGTGAATTCAATATAACAATATCATAATGACTAGCTTGGTAAGTACAATAAGCAAAATAGTCAGTATGTTCAACAAGATTGTCTGCTACCTCAAGTTGTGGCCTGATTTGTGAGGATCTGACGCTAGGCCCGAAAAGGTTATAACCTCCCCAGCTCCCGCGCAACGCGATTCCACGCGCCTTGAGGATCCTCATCAAAGACGGACATCATCGCCATCATTTTCTAACAGCCTCTTTCTTCTCCACCATACACACTCTCTGGTTTCCTTCTACAATTTTTGTAGCCATGGCGAGCGAAGGCGACTGTAATTATCAACCCTTCTCCCATCCTTCTGTCGAGAAGATTACTGACGGAATTGATTAAATCCACAGGGTCTTGCGACGCCAACGACTCCGTTCATATTACTGTCGTCCAGCCCGGCAAAGAGAAACCCACCACACTTTCCAGCTTTCACCCGCAGTTCACTTACCCAATTTTCGGAGATGAGGAGCAGATCTTTGGCTACAGAGGCTTGATCATCCGCCTGCGGTTTGCCGCCCATGATCTCCGCCCCCAAGTCCATATCTCTTACGACGAGAAATTTAAGCCCGTGGGGGACGCCGTCCCGGTCGACCTCTTAAAGACGCTGAAGCCATTCGTCCCGGAAGGTGAGTTGCACGATCAGTACTATTTGCGATCCTGCGCCTGGGCTAACAATATTATCCCGCGAACGTCCAGAGGCTTTCACGGCCCTTCCCGAATACGAGAAAGCACTCCAAGAAGATAAAGATGCGAAGGACTTTGTGCCTCCCGGAAAACTTGTGCACAGCTATGTCACTCGGGGACGATCATATGAAATCTGGGCTGGGTCGCTCGCGAATCCGGAAGTGCGACGGCTTTTGGACCGTGCGCAGGTCTTGGTGTCACTGTTTATCGAAGCTGGGACACCTTTAGAAACAGACGATCCTGAGTGGACGCTCAAAAGATGGATGGTCTATTTTGTGTAAGGCCCAATTCCCGACCCTCTTCAATATATTACCAGGACAAGCTGACAGTATATAGTTACGAGAAGGTCACCCCGCCCACCCCGTCCGCCTCGCAGTACTCGATCGTCGGGTATGCGACGACATATCGTTGGTGGCTATATCGGAGGGACGCGACGACAGACACATTGGATGGATCTAAACCCTACCCGCCAGCGGAGCTGGATCTCGCGAATCTCCCATCACGACTGCGAATCTCGCAGTTTCTGATCCTCCCACCTCACCAAGGCTCAGGACACGGCACCCATCTGTACACAACCATCCACGATGCCTGCGTCGCTGATCCAACCATCGTCGAGTTGACCGTCGAAGACCCGAATGAAGCCTTTGATGCCCTCCGCGACACCGCAGATTATCATATTCTGCACCCAGTGTTCGTTAAACACAATGTGAACATCAACCCCGATCCATACGACGAGCAAACCAAGAAAAGACGACCTCGCCGCGTGCCGACTTCTGCTCTCATCCCCACCGCAGCTCTACAAGACATCCGCGCCACATTCAAGATCCAGTCGACGCAGTTTTCCCACATCTTGGAAATGTTCCTCCTGGCCCAGATTCCACCTAAGAACCGCCATACCGGCGGTGCCAACATGGCACGTCTTTTGATTCGGAAGTATAACGCAGAGGACCCTAACGAACGGCGCTATTACTGGTGGCGGATGCTCACCAAGCAGCGTCTGTACAAGCGGTCGCGCGACATGCTCATCCAAATGGACGTGAGCGAACGCGTCCAAGCGCTGGAGGACACTGTTACAAATGTGGAAGAGGGATATGCTGCGCTCCTGAAGGTCTTTGAAGCCCGGGAGGAAGCCCTCAAGGCTAAAGAAGCCGAGGCGGGTGAACTACAAACCACTACGGCCGCAGAAGGTTCCAGCTCGGGACGGGACAAACGGAACAAGCGTAAACTCACTGTCGAAGATGATGAAGATGACGAGGAGGAAGAGGAGGATCCGGCCACAGCCAAGCGACCAAAGGTGTAACCCACGAACTTTGAACTCGCTTTTGTCTTGTCTAATAAACCTTTGATGTAATCCTAAACTTTACGAAACGTGAGGTTGACACGGCTTTTGTGTTTACTTTTTGACCACATATTGGGCAATTATGCCTCCACGGCCCATTACAGATACTCAGTGAATTGTAAAGGGACCTTGACCAGAAAATGTGAAGTCTGAATATTCCAATTAGTTCCATGTAGCAAAGGTAATACAGGCGTAGCTAGGATTAACTATTTATGAGCGCATCGGCTTACTAAAAAACTTATGCAGCCCGACGCCCGGTGCCGGGGGCTTTTTCTTCCGAAATCTCCATGCCGTGATCACCGTCGCTGAAGCTGGTGCGGAGCTCGTTGGTGATCATATCCAACATTGTGTATACTGGAGGGGTCTCAATCTCCTGCCTTTGACTTTCTGGCTTACCACTATCGCCGTTTCATTTACTTCTTAGTCTTGCGACTCGCAAGCCTTTTCCCGCCATATTATTGCCTCAAATCTCGACCAACCTTCTCACACAATTTACCTTGATTGATCACGATTACAATGGTATCTAGCCTATTGCTTCAGTGTACACAAACGCTGCTGTGCTTGACATATCGCTAACGCATGACAGTTGCCTCTAGGTCTACTCACGGCCGCCCAGGGCCACCCGATGCTGGTGGAACTCAAGAACGGCGAAACGCTGAACGGACATCTGGCCAATTGCGACAACTGGATGAACCTCATCCTGAAGGAGGTGGTTCAAACCAGCCCGGAAGGCGATCGATTTTTCAGACTCCCCGAGGTCTACATCAGAGGAAATAACGTACGTTGGTTCTGCGAGCACCCCCACCCCTCCCCCCTTCCTCGGTCGCCCTTATCATCGCGCACACTCAGCTAATACCCCACAGATTAAGTACCTTCGAATCCCCGAAGAGATTGTCGAGTTAGTCAAGGAGCAACAACAGAACCAGCCGCAGAATCGCGGCCGGGGTGGATACCGGGAAGGTGGACGAGGCGATCGTGGCGGTCGTGGCGGCCGCGGCCGCGGTAGGGGCCGGGGCGGCCGGGGTGGACATCAGGTATGAATTTGCACTTGAATAGAATGAGGATCAATGAGGATAGATACCCCCGGGGAGACAGAGGATAGGGACTTTGTTAGCGAGGTCTATTTGGCATGTTAGTTGAGCATGGCCTTGGCGTATGTGGCTCTGTATTGTTTTCCGTGGAATCCCTGCTATTAGGAACTATTTTTTTTTTTTTTTTTTACTTGCTTCGAAATCTCCCATGACGACCTCTGCCTCGCAGTAATCTAGTATAATAGATCGCTATACCCTGACGCGATACCCTCCATGCACCCGCCACTGAGGCGGATAGCACCAGATCACGTGATCGCGTTGCTCTTTTTCCCGGCTTCTTAGATCTGCGCCCTCCGCTGAACTTGACTTGCTAGGAACTTGGGATGTCTCGCAAGGCACTTGTTCTGGATGGGCTTTGGTATTGCCTATGCCCATCTTTTACCTCCAGGCCATTAAATTGCGCCAGAACACCTCTCTTGAGGGGGAAACGCAACAATTACTTCCCCGGAATTCTCGCCGGCTCGATCTCCGCATCCCCGCGAAGATGCCTCAGCAGCAATTCCGCCAACGCTTTTCACGGTAGCCGCTCCATACACGAACAGAATTTACGAGGAAGTCGCGGATATGTGTCACCAGAGGAAGATCGGAACCCCCATGTTTCCAATGCGGACGAAACTCTCGAACACGATGCCGGCACGTTCCCAGGGACAGAAAGCTCGTCTACGAGTCCACAACGCAAACGTCCACCGGGGGTGCCCAAGACGCTGGCGGACAGACCGACGTCATACTTAGAAAACAGACTTCAGGATATAACGGCGACGAACCCCAACATCGTCAGTACGACGCAGATACTACGGATTCTCATTCGAGACCGCCATGTACGACCCGACGCGCGACACTACCGGGCATTGATCCTGGCCAATTCGGACGCGGAACGAGGTTCGCCAGAGGTGGTTCGCCAGTTGCTGGAGGAGATGGAAGAGAATGGGATCCCGGCGGATTCGGGCACGCTTCATGCGGCGGTACAGGTATGTCCAAAGTTCTGAAGCCTTTACTACGAAGACCCCACCGGCGCTGACATAGCCTTCGAAATATTAGTCTCTTGCTGTCCATCCCGACTACATCTTTCGTCATGAGATCCTCCGCACCCTCCGAGACCGATGGTTGCCTTTGAGTCCTGCGGGGTGGCATTACGTGGCTGCTGGGCTCGTGCGGGAACACCAATTTGAGTTGGCGTTGGACCATATCGAAAACATGGAGAGAAGAGATATATCAGTAGAGGGCTGGCTTTACAACATGCTTATCTACTACCTCTGTGAATTTGGGGAGTTTGACGAGATCGTTCGGCTTATGCGACTGCGTGTAAACCAGGGGCATACTATCTCAAAGGATCTGTGGCGGCACGTGTTGGATGCCGCCAGTGCCGCTTCTCACCACGAAACCACTCATTACATATGGCGACAGATGGTGGAGCTGGGATACCTGCGTCCGTCATATGGCGTCTGCCAAAATGTCCTCACGGTGGCATCCCGCACGGGTGACACGGAGCTCGCTTCGTCGGTGATACGGCTTCTAGCCGAGATCGAAATGCCTCTGAGCTCAGAGGATTATGAAAAAGTTGCCGAAGCCCATGTGGTGCAAGGCGACCTTTACTCCGGGTTCGAAGTCCTGTGCAGGATGGCCGCGGCAGGCATTGCCTTGCAACCAAGCTCCACGCACGCCATTCTCACCTACATGATCCAGGAGAGGGTGCAACCGCGGGATGCCTGGGCGATTTTGAAACAACTGAAATCATCAGACTATGCGATCCCGCTAAAGTGCGCCCACGTCGTCCTGGAACTTTGCGAACACGAAGCTCTCCACGACTCTTCCTACCTCGATGAAGGGGTTACACTTTACAAGGAGCTCTACGCGCTCTGTCCAGACAAGGCCGATGTCAGTGTTTTCAACACACTGGTCGGCATGTGCCGACGGGCGAAGAACACCGACGCAGGCATGTTCATAATCAAGGAGATGGCATCGCTCCGAGTTGTGCCCAACACCACGACGTTTGAACACTTGATCCTCATGTGTCTGGACGCCGGCAATTCCGAGTCCGCATACATGTATTTCCAAGATCTACTCGCGCGGGGTTCGGGTCTCAGCGAGGACGCGCGCATCGAGATCCGCGAGCATTGTTCTCAGCTCGATGGGGAATACGCCCAGCAACTACGACATCACCCCGAGATCCGGGGCAGCCAGAGGGAATACTCGGAAGAATATCCACCCTTCACGCAGAGAGGACCGTCTAATTGGCCGCCAGAGTCTCCGGGGGAGTTTCAAAAACGTACACCAAGACCGGTGGATAAGGAGGCGCGGCGCGCGGAAAGCAAGGAGCGCCGCAAGCGAAAGCGAAGACGCTTGGCTATTGCCCGCGCTCAGGATGAGGACGACTGGATGGATTATAAACCCGGGGGGCTCGTTCCTGATCCCATCCCAGGGGATGAGAAAAAACCATCCGAGTGATCTTTCCCATTGTAGATAACGGCAACAAGCCGATGAGAGTATCGCAGTATACTACCATCACATCATGTACATTAGCTAGCATTCTTGGAGCATATTGATAAAATGGTAATGGGCGGATAACATGGAAGCAGAATACGGCGCAGTTCAGAGATGACAACCGATAGTATCTTCAATTCCTCTCCATGGTTCGATCTTTGTATCATCCAGGGTATCCTGTGTCATCACGTGATTCTAGTCATATCTGTATGGCGGATTGGCGTACACGACAACGGTACCCATGATGCAAACGCCTCACCACACTATCAAAATGAGATAGTTTGGGTAGCCTTGGAATCGCACTGCAGAGGCGATTCAAATGGTACCCTCATTGCTTTCTTTAGATCTTTGGTGAAACAACCACCACAACGAGGTATTCGCGGTTTCACAGGCGCATTGGGTCATGTGACCGTCACCTGAAGTACCACCATGGAGATGTAACTGAGTGGCATTGTTTGAGCAAACACAGGTCTCTCCATGTCTCGTAAGATCAAAATATCGTGGTAGCTTCCACTTACGAAATTTACTGAGAGGCGCGACCGTCCCAACCCCCTAATGAAACGTCATGGGCAGCATGCAAACCGCACCAAGCGCCAAGAAGACGACCTTCCGCTCCTCCTGATCAACTAAACCGTTCCACCGCAGTGTCAACTATGGTTTGCTCGCTCGGTCGTTTCCACTCCTCACCCACACCCCAGCCAAGAAATAAGCTACTGTAAATGGCCACTGACCATGCGGAGGTTGTCTACGGTGCTATTAATACGCTATGTCTTAGATTGTGATCGTCACCGACCAGGATCAGCTCAGGCAACAAATCGTTGGACAATGCAAACAAACTACATACCGAGTGGTTTGGGGTTTGCACCATGTAATTCCACGGTCGAACGCCCCAGGGTGACACCAATGACGATGGAATGAAATGATCTCTCGGTTCTTTTCGCAGGACACACTAGTCGGTTTCCGAATTTTGAAGGTAACAAAGAACCATCACGGTGACGACGAGACGGAACGATGGGAGGCAAAGAAAGGTCTCGGGAGAAAAGGAGACAGAAAGACAAATCCTCCCTCGCACGGATTCCAGCCGATCGACGGGACACACGTCCCGATGGGGTAGGTATGTATGGGGAGATAGACACAGAGTCCATACGTCTGGCTCCACCCGGCAGTAGTTACGGGCCCAGTTGCAATCTGACTGTTCATCAGAAGTATATCATTTGAACCTAACCCACTCCTTCGCCACAAGAGGAACCGTTCATTCGGTCGAAAGGTCCCAGATTGATTGATGCCATCGATTTGTTGTCGTTTGCATTCGTCTATCCCGTGGTGTTGTTGATTGTCTTTAAATACTATCGATACCGGTCAGATATTTGTTATCGTGACAGGAGACCTACAACCCCTCGACCGGATCCTTCCAACTCCTTTTCCTTCCGATTATTCATTCAACCTCGACTCATCCATTCGAGAGAATAATTCTTCGTCGACCCCTCCCGTTATCAACTCTCTTCCCCCGCCCCCGTGGGATATACCGGGCGCGTATTCCAGTGTTATTCACCATACCAACCGAACCCTCCGCCTTAAGTCTATCGCCCATCATGCAGCTAACTTCGGCCCTCGGAATCGTTCTGTCTGTCGCCAGTCTGACGTCCGCGCTGCCCGCGAAGCGCGACACGCAAACCGACCCGAGCGACAGCCGGTCCCTGACCTACCACGTGTCCGACTTCAGCACCGGGTGCTCTCCAGGCGGCTGCATCTACGATTTCAAGGTTCACGGCCTTGAGTCCGAGAATACGCCTTCTTTCGACACGACTTGCTCGGGCAAGACTACGGAGAAGGAATACCAGCCCTGCGAGGACCCGAACATCAAATCCCTGCTGACGCCTGGGGTCTATCCCGACTGGAACATCAAGGTCCAGCACCACTGGCAGACGGCTCCGTTTGACGATCACTGGACGCGTGGCGAGAAGAACGTCACGTCCACGGACAAGGACTTTGACATTCCCGTGACGAAGCCGTTTGGAGTTTCTTAAGGAGGAAGAAACTGGTTGAAGAGGAAGAAGAAGAGGCGACACCACCCGCTTGATGCGACCACTCGTTTATTATCATCATCATCATCATCATCATCATCATTCTTATTCTCGACCTCTTGAATGAGGTGACCATAATTCATGCGAGCGGATTGGCGTTTTTCAACGAATGCTATCGCACAGAATTCTAATTCTGTCTGTTTGTCCTGTATCATAAGGTATTCCAGATTGGTCTACATGATGGCGGACTCATAATTCTACCCTCGCAGGTGATTTTTTTGCTCTCTGTTGTCTATCTTAATGACGGATTTACTATTTACCATGCAATACTTTATACCTCTGTGATGATTCGATTGGAACTGTGTATTGGCAATTTACGATTATAATATTCTACCTTACGTTAACTACCCATTGATCTTTCTTTGTTTTCATTTCTATCCATCTTTTGGTTGTTTTGTCTCCGTTTGGTGGAGGATGAATGTAAAGGAGGTTTGTATGGGGCTAACCCCGGGGTGACATCATCATCCAATGATCCTCAAGCTGAGATTCAACGCGCCTCAACTCCGCCCCAGTGAAGTTCTCTCTCTTCTCTCTCTCTCTCTTTCTCTTTCTCTATCTTTCTCCATTTTTAAATCGTTCCCCTCAATCACGGGCCAGACAGCCACAGGAACGAGGATCCATTAGCCCTTTCCATCCTCTCACCACCTGTGACCGTGTCCGAACTGAGTAGTGATCGCTCGCGCCTTTTGTTGCCCGGTTTTGGGTCAACATTCCAACACCAGGACGGTCTCAACCACTCAGCAAATGACCGTAAGGAGAGATTTCTTTCCCTGGTGACCGTCAAGCCAAGGGAGAAAACCGTCCAGTGTTACAATTAGCGATACTTTCTCACTGTCAATGGTAGGTACCCCTCTGTTTTCCCTTCCATCTTTCCCCCCTTGCCGTCATGCGGTTCTTCAGCCCCTGCCGAGACTGACCTGCTCCGCTTCAACCAATCCAGGCGTCGATCCTCCGGCAGATTGTCGCGGGTCCCCGACTGCGACATCCAGAGGCAGGCCTCGATCTCTGCTATGTTACAGATAATAGTGAGTTTATATTTTCTTAGATTCCGATTCTCGCTCGATTTTTATATATTTATCGATATATATTTCTCCACTTACTAACCACCCTCCCCAAGTCATCGCAACGTCGGGTCCGTCTACCAACTATCCGCAACGCGCATATCGAACCCCCCTGGACGATCTAGTCAGCTTCCTCGACGCCAAACATGGCAAGGACTGGGCTATCTGGGAATTCCGTGCGGAGGGTACTGGCTACCCGGACGAGGAGGTATACGGGCGCATCCACCACTACCCATGGCCCGACCATCACCCGCCGCCGTTCGCGCTCATCCCGCCCATGATGGGTAGCATGCGCAACTGGCTCCAGGGGATCGAACCGCAGGATAAGCCACAATCCCCAGAAGGGAAGAGGGTGATGGTGGTACACTGCAAAGCCGGCAAAGGCCGCAGCGGCACAGCCGTGTGTAGCTATCTAATCAGCCAAGAAGGGTGGAAAATTGAAGACGCACTGCAGCGGTTCACCGAGCGGCGAATGCGCGCCCGATTCGGAGCCGGCGTCAGCATCCCCAGCCAGCTGCGCTGGGTCCGCTACGTCGATCGGTGGACGAACCAGATGGGCAAGAAGTACGTTGAGCGGCCCGTGGAGATTCTGGAGCTGCATGTCTGGGGCCTGCGGGACGGCGTCAAAACCGCGGTGGAAGGGTTCGAAGACAAGGGCAAGAAGATCAAATGCTTCCATCTATTCCACCACAGCGAGCGCACAGACGTCGATTCCGGGCAGTCCACACCACAGGAGAGCAGCAGCAGCAGCGGCGAGGACAGCAATAGCCCCAAGGAGCCCCTATCAGCAATCACCAATTCCCAAACCCCATCCAGCACGCTCCCCCCGCGATCCACCACCGCAGGCGCAATTCCAACCAGCGAAGCATCCGATGACACGAACCCCAAACACCTGTCAGCCTACATCTTCCGCCCCAGCGAACGCGTCATCCTCCCCACATCAGACGTCAACATCGTCTTCGAGCGCCGCAGCAAAGCCTCCTACAAAGGCTGGGCAATGGTGACGTCCGTCGCGCACGTATGGTTCAACGCCTATTTCGAAGGCGGCGACAAGCATGACTCGGGTGTCTTCGAAGCCGAGTGGGAAGCGCTCGACGGGATCAAGGGCACAACGAAGAAGGGCGTTCGCTCTCTCGAACGCCTCCAGGTCGTTTGGCGGTATCCGTCTGCATCGGAGCTAGACGCGAGCAAATCAACCGATGTGCAAGAAGCCCCAGTCCAGGGCCAGGCAATCCTGTTTCCGCAGCCTGGTGAGCCTATCCAGGAGGATAAGCCGGATGACTGGCATCTCCACGAGACGCACAAAGAGAATGTACCGCATTTGGCCCCGCGTAGTCAGGAGAATCAGCCACCTGTGGCTCAGGACGCCAGTCGGCCTGACGATTCCCCGGCGCTTGGCCAGCTCAAGCGTGATGAGAGGGTAGATGTGGATAATAATAAAGAGTCTGCTAGCGAGAACGTTCCACAGGAGGGAATTGCCCAGTCGTCTGATCAAGGCAAGGAGAGCCAGAAAGTGGACTCGTCTGTTACTCAGGCTCAGGCTCAGGCTGAGCCTCAACCGGCTGACAAGCCGGCTGACGACAAGAACCAACAATAAGTATATATATATATATATGTATTATAGTAATACTACGCGTAATAGACCGCCATTTCTTTTGATATATTTGTTCCTCAGCGTGCCGTCTTTTACTTGGTCGTAGCCTGGTGTTCCGTTAATCTGTCCTGTGAGGGAGAGACCGCCGGTTCATTGGAAGGTAGGGTTTTAGATAGACTCTTTGAATTAACCATATATTGTGGAGGGTTTCCATTAGATCACGTATGTCGCAAATTTGAAAGCTTTTACTGTCTGCTTGTGGTGATATCGTATGAGAATGTGGGTATTTGATGGATAGTATGGTACTTTAGGTAGGCGCTGAATGAACAGGAAATAAATTGCAAAACCAGAGAGAACAAAGGAAGAAAACGAAAAAGACAAAAGAGAAAAGAGAGAGCGAGAGAGGAATAAAAGGTAGAGCGAGCAAGCAAGCAAGCAAGCAAGCGACAGGCAGACCCTCCTATGCATCCAATATACTGGAAATAACGACCAATAGACAATCTAAGCAAACATCGCACTCTAATACAGCAACAGATAAGGACAGAAAGACATCCCATCAAAGAGGCACGAACCCCTCCAACTTCTGCCGACACTCGACGTCCTCACGACGCAAGCGATCCGCCTTCTTACGCTCATACACGGCTCTCACAACGCGCTTAACCTGGTCTTCGCCGCGAGCGAAGTTCGCCTTGGCGAGCCCGATGACGGAGTCGATCTGTCCCGGAGAGTAGACGAAGTTCCACGTTGAGAGGAAGTCGTCGATGTCAGGGTTGATGGAGCGGGGGTGCGGGTTGAGGAGCTTGACTTCGTCGGGGGAGAGAGGGTCAGCGGCCTTTTTGGCGGGGAGGGGCGGTTTGGTGGGGGCCTGGGGGTGCGGAAGGTCCGGGGCGTCGTCGTTGGGGAGGAGCGGGAAGTAGACGACGGCGACGCCGGCGTCAGGGCGCATGAGGTGGAAGTCAGATTCGGCGTGGTCGGTTGCGTCGGCGGGGTGGAAGAGGCGCTTTGAGGGGGGCGGTTCTTCGTCGGTGACTTTTTCCTGCGTCGTGCCGACCCACACGTTGCAGTAGTCGAGGTCTGTTTCGTGGGGGCTTTTTGTCGCGGGGTCTGGTTTGCTGTTGTTGTTGGGTGGGTGGTCGTTGGCCTTGGCTTCTTGGATCTTCTCGTCGAGGGCTCTTTGCGTGATGTTTTGCGGCTCGCGGAGGGCTTCGGCGTTTTCCTTGGCGGTTGCGTTTGCTTGGGGCCAGCCGGCGCCCTTGGGCCAGCCTTTGATGCCGCGCTGGCGGGCGTAGCCGTCGACCGCTGAGAGCCAGTTCTCCTGCTTGATGTCTGCTGAGGCGTCGAATGCGACGATGACGTCGACGTCTCGGCCGGGGCGCAGGAGGGGGTAGATGGGCAGGTTATTGCTCATGCCTGCGTCCATGAGCCGGAGGTGTTGGCTCTGGAGGATGGACTCGGGGCACGTCGAGGGCAATTGGTCCCGCATGCCGAGGACGTAGTTGGGAATTGTGGCGGGGTCGATCGGGTGCACGCGGACTAGGTCTTTCGACTTGCCTTGGATGAGGGAGTCGATGCCGCCGAATCCTGCGATACCTCGAACGACGGGCCGGATCTCCTTGTAGTAGTGGGACAGGGTGGCGCAGAAGGCGCTTCCCCAGATGCCCATCAGACCGGGCACTCGGAACTCGGGAGTGGGAAGATCTTGGTCGAGTGTGGTGTCTTTCCCTTGGTTGAAGTGGCGTCCAAGTGCCCATGTCGGGATCCCGGCGTTTAGTTCCTCGCAGAAGAATTCATACGGCGTAAACTCGAACCACTGGAACCATGCCTCTTGTTTGGACTTCTTGATCAGGGCTTCTGGGGTCGGTTTTTGCTTTGGTGGTCCATCGTCCTCGCTGAGCAGGGGGATTTCATGACGAACGGCGGTGTATATCGGGAGGGGATGCGCTCCGGTAGCGAGACCGTACCGTTGGTTGGACAGCTTGAGATCGTCGTCGGAGACCGCGAGTTCTCCCTTGGGGACGAACAACCGCGCACCTAGGAGTAGACCGTAGATATCCACCAGGCCGAAATCTGCCCCCGGATCGCCTTTCAGTTTTTCGACCAGACCTCGCAGGAGATACTTGTTGGTCGGAGCAGTGGTGAGAAGGTCAAGCGCTTTTGCCGGGAATGCGATATGTATATTCAGCCTGTTCTTCAGGTGGTCGACCAGCTTGTTGAAATTATGTCCTGTGATGGACGAGTGATACAGCGTCTGCAGCCAGCAACTGCCGCTGACGCCGGCGGTGTACGTCACGCAGTCCCAAAGACCGGCCTCGTTGGCCGCCAAATACGACCCCGTTCCGGCGACGAGGGCGCGCAGACCACCTCCGGAGCCGCACACAGCAATGGTCGGGACATCTTCCGGGTGTATATCCTCTGCGGGGATGCCCAAGTAGGACGCAAGGGCGTGCACCGCATGCGCCCGTCTCTTCCGCCGGAACGCCATCTCGTCATCGCAAAGCTTGTCACTCACGCGCACCTTGGCCTCGCGCAGTATCTCCGGGTTGAGATCAGGATCATGGGCCTCTTTCCAAATGTCATCCGCAAGGGATCCAGGAGCCATCTCCAGTTCACGCTGGAGTTTCTGCATCGTCGCGGGGAGGAAGTGGGTCCAGTCGGGAATGATGTAGTTCTTCAAATGATCGATTTCCATCCAGTCCGCCGAGCCGACAGAGTGCTTCACTCCGTCCAATTTCTGCAGGATGCTGGTCCATATTGACGCCGAGTCTTGAGAGTTCTCGGAAGAAGAAGAAGACGACGAGGACGACGCATTGGCCCCGCTCGAGCTGCCATACTTGGACCCCTGTCCGCTATTATCGGCGGCGAGCAAGGCTGAGGTGGAAAGCCATGCCTGTTGATCTGCCTGGAGATACGCCTGTCTCTGCGACTGCGTCCGCTTTCGAGACGAGTAGAGGGCTCCACTTCCCAAGGCGATCAGAGCCACTGGGGGACCAGACCAGCGGAAGCCAAATGCCTTTGCAGCACCCATTGCCCGATGGGTACCGCACAAGGAACGAGAATAAGTAATAATGGACGAACGAGGGAAGCGTGTGGTACAGGTTGGGAACATGCGACATGTAGGCACGGGGAGAATCTCAATCGCGAGTAATTAAGCACCTGCTAGTGGGCCAGACCATTGGCGATCGGATGCCTTTTTGGACCCTTGCGCCTTGGCAGGTTGATTACCGATGATGTCATATCATGTGATCTACCGTTCATTCCCGGTCTTTCTTCCTATGGATGCAGCTTATGATCTCAGTTTGAATGATTAGAGGGGACGGGATGAATTAATATGGAGCTAGAAGATAACATGATGAAACTCATGGTACTGTGGGAAAGAGGAGGATTCGCGTCCATATCTAGTTTTCCACAGGAGATGCACGGTGACACCATCCTTATGTATGCGAATAGATCGTCCATGCTCCATAATTATGTTGTATTCAATCGTTTCATATCTAATTGTTGGACAATGCATCGTACCTAAACCTGCTTAGATTTTCTAATCTATTGTTTTTCTAACAGCCCAGGCGCGAAGCTGTGTAGAATAGAGTTTTGAGCCTTGCTGTCCCAAGTGTTGAGACGACAGTCTCGACCAACAGATTGACAGCCATGGCAGTGTCCGAGATGAGTATCATCAAACAGCAGATAGTAGCTTACCCACATAGTCCATGGTTCAAAAGTATCATGATATCCTTTGGGCCCGTGTGATAATATCCATCTTTCTGGAAAAAGTACTCAAGTCATTGTTATTTGGTGGTTTAACATTTCGGACAATGCATATCCTGGTTTCCCAAGACCAGATTCAATCCCACACTCTCCTGTAGGAATCCAATCGTGATTTCAGTCCGGTATAATGATTATACTGGGGTGTAAACCAAGAAGCATCAATGATTTCAGGATCTCGGGATCAAGACGGGCCGAAACAACCTCAATCGGGTTAGCGTCACCGACGTCCATCGTAATTGCGGAGAAAGATTAATGCCTGAGGGAACCACGTTCTCCTTCCCCCCAAACCCACCCAAGCTTTCCATCCCCGTTATGTTTGCTCCATGAGGCCAGGCGCCTCATCGGCCAATTTTTCACCTTGCCATCTTTCTCTCTAGAATCCGATCAATCTGAGAGACATGATTCACCTATTCGAGGGTGTACTTTTAACTTATTCCTAATTATTTGACGTGTGGGTCCCTGCGACCAAACACCTTGATCATGGTTGGCACAAGGAATACGGCCTACGCGGAGGAGAGCGCAGAGGTCAAGGTGTTGTACGCCAACCTCGAGAAGCTCAAGCTCCTTACGAAGAAGATCCAAGGCTCCATGGTTCGCCTAGAGACCGGTGGAAACGTAGTGAAAAATGCCATCGGTCCCATCTACAGCAACACGCAATCTCTCCAGATCACCAACACCAACATTGACAGAGTCAATGAGGCAATCGAACGGCTCCGTCAGCCTCTCGATGCGAAGAGGGGAGAGGAAGGCATCATTCGCGCTGGGTATGTTGTGCTGTGGAATCCAAAAGGAGCGCATCTAATCAGACTCTCTCCAACAGACCTCAAAGCGCCGGCCTGCCCCAATACCTGTCAGCCCTTAGACGGGTGGAAAAGGCACTCGTGGACCTCAACTCGACTAATATGCGGTCGAACGAAAAAGCGATCTCCGATTTGACCTCGTTATTATCCATCGGTTCCACCCAACTTCAGGACCTGCTCCGTGGCAAGTTAAGCCAATACGTCGGGCCTGTCGAGCCGCTACATTATCTGACAAAAGGTACGCCCTTGCTGCTCCCAGCTACCATTCATCAGTGATCGCGACGCTTACGCATACTGTGCAAATTAGAACTACCATTCCCGTCGATCCCGCAGGAAGAACTCGCCATATTGGGGCCTATCTGCTCCACCCTCGACTCAGTGGCGGCATTAGGACCCCAGCGTGGTGAAGGTGGCAATCCGGCTGTCAGAATATACGCTGAGATCCGTGGTGGATACGTTACATCAAACTTGCAGAACCTCGCGACTGCATCCCTGAATACCGTCAAACGGAGGGCTACCGACGGTCCCTATAAACAAGGCACAAACGGAATCGGGATTTATTCGAATGCGCTGGAAAATTTCATTTACGCCGAACATGAGATCCTTTCGCGCATATTTACGGGCGAACAACGAGGCCTGGCTCTGCAGGCTACGTGTCGTTCGGCGCTGACCGAATACTCCAAAACCCTGCGGGAACTCAATCAGTACATCCGTGCCAATCTCATGACCGATTGTTTTCTGGCCTTCGAGATTATTGACATTGTAACCGCCATGTCTTATCGTGTCGACTCCAAAACGGGCGAGCTCAAAAGCTTGTTCATCGAAGCTCTCAGACCCGTCCGTGAGACCGCCAAATCCTCGCTTTCGGAACTGATCGAGGAGACAAAGCGGAAAGCGGGAGCTATCACGATGCTGCCGCCGGATGGAGGACCCGTACCTCTGGTCCATGAAGTGATGAACTCTCTCATCACATTGACTGCATATTCAGGCCCATTGGCTTCGATCTTGACTTCGCTGGGAGACGGAAATTGGCGGTCCACGTCCAATGTACCCAACCCTACACCCTTGGACGTCAGTCCGGACAGCTCGACACTTTTATCACACTTCATCCTGGATATGATCGAAACCATGATGGTTGCTCTTGAAGCGCGGGGGCGAACATTTCACCGCTCCAAAGCCGTGCAGGGTGTGTTCCTGTCCAACATATTTTGCATCGTCGACCGCTCTATTCGGCAGAATCCGGAACTGGCCAAGTATTTAGGGTCTCCGGACAGCATCGCGCGAATCGACAGCTTCCGCAAGCGTGCCACCTCCACCTACCTGGATGCCTGGAAGGAGCCCTCGCATTACCTGCTGGATGTCCAGTATACGTCGCGGGGGGCACGTCCCGCATCGAGCGGCGCAGTCGACTCCAGCGCCATTGTCAAGGCCCTCCACTCCAAGGATCGGGACGCAATCAAGGACAAATTCAAGGCGTTCAACGCTAGCTTTGATGAGCTGGTGTCGCGCCACAAGTCACTCTACATGGAACGAGAGGTGCGCGGAGTACTCGCGCGAGAAGTGCAGGGCGTCCTGGAGCCTCTCTATGCCCGCTTCTGGGACCGCTACCACGAGATCGACAAAGGCCGGGGCAAATATGCCAAGTACGACAAGAACAGTCTCGCTGCACAATTAGCTGCTTTGTCATAGGACTGGGCTCCGGGGTTGATGTGGGGTCAAGAACCCGATGGGATGGGATGACTACTTAGCTATATCTACCTATTGCGATCCTGTCAAGCTCTGATAAAGTAATAATATAATAATGTCCACCACTGAAAGTCAATGTTATATTCACCTTCACGATCCGCTTCCATATCCGGGCTGATCGAAAACTCACGATGAACCCCTCCAGATAACGTGACTGATAAGCGGAGCCCCGCTAGCGTCAAGATTGTCCCGCCGCAAAATTTCCCATCGATCCTCCACACATTCAAGAGCCCCTCTCCTATCTGTTCTCCTTTCCTGTCGCTCAATTCGTCGAGGAAGCCTCTCAATTCCAATCCGACAGGATGTCCTCCAGCAATGATGTCTACCAGACTCCCCTCAACTCGCGGTACTCGAGTAAGTCACCCCACGGGTCGATCGATTCGCCGATCCCGGTTTCGGACTAATAGGGTTTATGCGTATAGGCAATGAGATGAAGTACCTCTTCTCCGCCAGGAACCGCTTCTCTACCTGGCGACAGCTGTGGCTCTGGCTGGCCGAGTCTCAAAAGGGTATACTTGTCTAGTGTCCACCGATTCCAATGCGTCGTGTGTTAACCGGTTGCGTCAGAGCTCGGTCTCCCTATCACCGATGACGCCATTTCCCAGATGAAGGCGCATACTACGATCCAGGACGAGGAGTTCAAGGTTGCCGCGGAGGAGGAAAAGCGCCGGAGACACGATGTCATGGCCCACGTCCACGCGTACGGACAGGTCGCCCCGGCTGCGGCGGGCATCATCCACTGGGGTGCCACCTCGTGCTACTGCACGGACAACGCCGATCTCATCTTCCTCCGCGACGGTCTCGACATCCTGATCCCCAAGCTGGCCGTCGTTATCGATAAGCTGTCTGCATTCGCGCAGGAGTACAAGGACCTGCCTTGTCTCGGCTTCACGCACGGACAGCCTGCCCAGCTCGTCACGGTTGGCAAGCGGGCGTGCCTGTGGATCCAGGATCTGCTCATGGATCTGAGGAACTTGGAGAGGGCCCGCGATGACCTGCGTTTCCGTGGTGTCAAGGGTACCACCGGTACTCAGGCTTCTTTCCTCCAGATCTTCGAGGGTGATCACGGTAAGGTCGAGCAGCTGGACGAGCTGGTGACCGAGAAGGCTGGGTTCAGCTCTGCTTTCATCATTTCCAGCCAGACGTACTCCCGCAAGATCGACGTTGATGTTGGCAACGCCCTGGGCTCCTTCGGTTCCACTTGCGAGCGCATTGGCATTGATATCCGCCATCTCGCCATGCTCAAGGAGCTTGAAGAGCCTTTTGAGAAGGACCAGATTGGCAGCAGCGCGATGGTACGTAACACACTGCAGGCTTTAGGGATACAATCTGACATATTACAGGCCTATAAGCGCAACCCGATGCGCTCTGAGCGTCTCTGCTCCCTGGGAAGACACCTTCAGAACCTGCCCAAGGATGCCTTGGACACCTACTCGGCGCAGTGGTTTGAGCGCTCTCTGGTGAGAACTGTTTTTTTCTTTTGTCTCATAGTAACAGGTGTGCTAACTGCGTCTAGGATGACAGTGCTATCCGCCGTATCAGCGTCCCGGAGCTGTATCTCACCGCGGACGCTTGTCTCATCCTGCTGAGTGAGTGTTATCGACTGATATTGGTGGAAGCGCTAACCACATCCCAGACAACGTCACCTCTGGCTTCGTCGTCTACCCCGAGGTCATCAGACGTCATGTGAACGACGAGCTTCCTTTCATGGCCACGTAAGTCATCCTCTAATCCTTATATTCGAGATCACAACTAACATCTGATCAGTGAGAACGTAAGCTTGCGAATCCTCCCAGTCCTGTAAACAATTACTTACAACAACAGGTCATCATGGCCTGCGTCAAGAAGGGCCTTTCCCGGCAAGACGCGCATGAGGAAATCCGTAAGTGTCTCCTGTCCCCTATCTCACCTACACCTCCCATCCTAATCCGATAAATCACCACAGGCGTCCTCTCCCACCAAGCCGCCGACAACGTCAAGAAGCACGGCCAGGACAACGACCTGCTCGAGCGCATCCGCCGCACCGAGTTCTTCAGCCCCATCCTGGGCGAGCTCGAAACCCTCCTCGACCCGAGCACCTTCGTCGGCCGCGCCCCGCAGCAGGTTGAGAAATTCGTCTCGACAGAGGTCAAGCAGGTTCTTAAGCCTTATGAGTCCCATCTCGCCAAGGCGGAGACGTCTGCTCTTCATGTCTAAGTACATCACCACACTACAACATTTACATACAACAATGTACACGTCTACATAACACATTTATACACGAATTCAGTTGAATCTAATGACTTGGTCACACGCTCATCCACATTATCGCCATTGTCTTATAAACAGGCGTTATAAAAGCCAGAAGAAAAGCAAATACCATCTCACCATCAATCATGGTGTATCCTCTATCTTATCTTCTTCCTTCAATGCAAACCCACTGGTCATGCTGATTCAGCAATCAATGATTGCCATAATATCCTTGTGACATTTACAAAAATCCAAGCCGGGCTGGGGCCGTCTGTATCATAATCAGCTAGCCAAAACAAAAGCAGACTCGATGATAGTTATCCAGTACACATTCGTATAATTCTTCACATTCACTGTGCTACTGATAGTATCTATCTATCAGGCAAACATCCACAAACCAGTCTCCAAGCTAGCTCAATCAGCAAAGCAACTATACAATAACCAGACAAGCCATGCATCCAATCCAGTACCACCTACCTTACCTTCACACGTACTACGTAATACCCCTACGCTGTCCTCTCCCCGCTTCCACCCCCTGCCACGGTAACGGTCTGATAAGGCCCAGCCCAGCTGATCCTGGTATGTTACTATCCTGCGATCTACTGTATTACATTGCACTGTACTGGGTTAGGTCCTTTACTATCTGGTAGGTAGGTACATAAGTGGGTGAATATGAAAGAGTATTACTTGGGGTAGGCAATTAGGGAGGTAGGTAGGTATGTAAGTAGTAGAGGTGGATTCCTAGTCACAACGACATTCTATCATATTATACCCATCGTTTCTCTCTCTCTCCGAATAAGTAATTAGCTAGCTAGCCAGCTAGATGGCCGCATACATGCCCCCCTACCTAACAAACCGACAAACAGACCGACATAAAACACCCACCCCAAGACCAAAAAAAGGGAGCAATATCTACCCTCCTCCCTACCACGCCTCTGTTTTCCAACTAGCTTTTTTCCCACCTCGGAGAATTCTTTCTTTTCTTTTTCCCTTTAAGTTTGGTCATGTCGTACAGAATGTGTGTGGTGCATACAAACATACATAAATACATACTCCATGTTGTACAAAGATGCAGCCAAAGGTTGGTTGTATTGCGTGGGTGGTGTGACTAGCTTTGCGTCTGGTAGGTAGGTAGGTAGGTAGTAATTTAATGGGGAGTTGAGGTTATTGCTTCACCTGTGAGAGTAGTAGTTGTTTGATTTGAATATGCATTGTATAGGTATGGATGGTGTTGTTGGAGGGAGCAAAAACTGGAGAATGAATAAGGTATAGGTAGAAAAGGGAAAATGGAAATGGAAATGGAAAATCTCATGCAAAAGGAAATAAAAAGGCAGTTCTATTCCATGGCATGTCTTGATAAACGTGAATTGAACTCCATAAAACCAAGAGCTGATAAAGCTAGGATTTACTCTATAAGGCCCGTCCAGATCATGCTGGGTATCTCCAAAACAAAGCACCTATAGGAAGGGGAGAGAGGTTAATTCAAAATATATACATATCCTATTTTCTCCAACTTTTCAGATCGCACCTGGTGCGTGCAAGATTCAATAAACGAACTTCTCTATTTAGGAATATCAGACAGACCACCGCCATCCAAATGCAAATAACCCGGCCAGCGGTAACTCCGCGGAGTCCAGTCAGACCAGGCGTCAAAGTCTCTATCAAAATTCTGCAAGCGCTTTAGTAAATGAGTGTGACACAGATCAACACGACCGGGACAGGCGACACGGTCTGGCGACCACCAGATCATTAACCTAATTAGAACAGATGCAGGCGGGGAAATGAACGAGCAGGGCAGGAAATGGACATACCTATCTGTGTAACGGACGAAACTCAGCAATCAGCCAATTCGGTGAAAGACGTCATTCATATGCGATATCAACCCCCGGATGGGAAGACCATTACCCCCCGGACGGAGAGAGGACAGACTAGAGGGCGGCCAGCCAATTGAGGATCTAGAGCAGATACTGGTCAGTTTTCCCGGTATGTACTAGCTATCCTTTGGAACGGAGCATACCATCATCGCTTGCATCACAGCGACCTTCTCGCCGTAATGCACGCCATCCCAACTGTCGGCCTGCAGGGTGGCGTTGTACATGCCAAGCGACTCGACCCCCTTGCCTCGAGCGGCGTCCGATGCATCCAGGGTATATTGCCAACTGCGGGCGCGCACGTTGTCGCCCGGGGAATTTTGGTGACCGGGGGAATTGGGCCCAACCCAGAGGAACGGCATGTCGCGTCCACTCGACTGGGCTGACGCCAGCCATTCGTCCATGCTGCTGCGGGCGGTCGACAACGAATGCGAGGTTGAGAGCGACAGGCTGTGGATCACCGGGACCGGTCGGCTCTTCCCGGTGGCCTGGGAGACCCGGAGACGAAACGTCTCGTGGGCATTTTTGGAAGCGGGCGAGCCGGTGATGGGCACAAAGCCGTGGGAGACCCCTTGAGACCAAGGCCGGTTAGCAGCGCAGAACGTGGGCACTCGACTAGGAAGGGGAACACGGCACTCACGAGTTGAACACCGGTACGGGCTCCGTTCCGCTGCGGGACCGTCCTGTTGATACGCCTGGTCGCTGGAGGTAATCCGCAGTGGGGCACACAGAGGGCTAGTGAATTGCGAATCGCATTTGCACTTCTCCGCCTGGTCCTTGCTGAATTTCCAATCTTTGAGGGAGCCAGATTCCAGGTTCTGGCGGAGGAGGATGTTAAATCCCGCATAGATGTCGGCCAGGGACTCGTCGCCAATGAAAATCACGCCGTCGAATTTCTGCAGGACGTCACAGGCTTGGGAGACGGAAAACCAGCGATAAGAGCAGCCTGATAGGCGCATGTCGTCAGTTGCGGGCGGCAGGGTCCTCGGGTCACCGGGAGGAGGCCGGAGGCCCATTCCCCTCGGCTTCCGACGAAGGGGAGAACGGAGGAGGTGACACTTCTGTGATCGACTTACCTTGGGAGGTATAGGCCGCATCAAACCCATGTCGGCCACCGTTGCTCATGGCATTGAGCAAGGAGTCGCGGGTCTGGCAGTACAGTTTGGTGTCCTGCGGCGGCTCGAAGAGTGACAGCGAGGAGAGGCCACACTGACGATGACCTGCATATTCAGCCAGAAAGCTGCGATCGGGATTGGTTAGAGCCGCTCCTTGACGTGACCCGCGGACGGGTCGGTTATCCGAGGCTCACTCACTCATGGTTGGGGCCCGCCAGGGTGATGGGGAAGGTCTGGGAGGGGCTGAAGGGGAGATAGAAGATATCACGGATGAGCCAGACGATGTAGAAGACGCCCAACACCCACAAGGAGGCCATTAGCTTGTAGGTGGAGGAACGCCAGGTGACTCTACGGATTAGCCTCCGGCCGTTGGGGCCCTCGATCGGACCGCGCCGCGGGGGCTGATGATTCTGCTGCATGCTGGAAAATGGATATGCAAACGCTTCGTTCATCGAGGAGGACGACGCTAGCGACTCGCTATTGGATGCGCGACGACGAGACATGGTTCTTTTCAAGCTGCTTACATCGACCCGCAGCGACTGAGGAGGTGGAAGTATAAGGAGAGATCTAAATTGGCTGACGACGGGAGATGCATCTGCCAGAGGCCTGGTGCGACTTTTTTTCTTCTTCTCTGATGCTTCTTGATTCTTCTCGTCCTCACTTCCTCTCTTTCTTGTTTTTATTTTTATTTTTTCTTTTGGTTTTCCTGTGTGATCACTTGGTTTCCTAATCGGGTCGAAGGGAACCAGGAAGCGAGGGAAAAAGAAGCCCGAAAGGGAAAATCAATAATAAGAGGAGAGGGATGAAAGAAAGGAGGAAAAAAAATAGAAAGAAGAAGGGAGACTGAAAAGGACTTGGAAGAAGTAGAAAAGGAAAAGGCCGAATGAACGAAGAGCGAGGAGAGAGAGAGAGAGAGGAATGAGGAATTCAAATCCCCAGAGAAGACGACAAGAAAGAAGAAGAAGAATGACACTTCCACACTAGGCCAAGTTGTGACTGTAGTCGATGGAAATAGTCAATAATCACGATCATTAATAGAGAAGCACCAGAACACTTGTTGGTAATTATAATAATTTTTGGATTGATGTTCTATTGGTTTTAATTCTGTATTTGTCTCCAGATTTGAACTGTCATGCGACCTGTTCTTGTTCTGTTGTTCTTTCTTTCCATTCGATAGTCTTCCTGAGGTCGGATTTGACCGTTGAGATTCGTTCTCTCTTTCCCTCTTCTTTCTTTCTTTCTTCCAGTTGAAACTCTTTTGACCTCTTGGTTGACAACTATTATTTTAGCTTTGACTGATTTATTGTTGATCTCCAGAAATCACAAAATACACTGTCAATCCCGCCAATCTTATCCAAATCCAACCTCTACAGCCACTGCAGTCACCCCCAATCGGATATCTCATCGGGGAATTCCAAAGAAAAGGGGAGAAATCCGTCGGGGAACGAATCCAAGAGAAAAAAAAAATCAACAAAAAAAAGAGGGGGAGGGGAAGACAACGAAAAAAAAGACAACGAGAGGATCAAGAGGGGCAACGACTTTCCAACTGGAGCCAGCTACGGATTCGAAATTTGGCATCAACGGCATGAGGGCCAAAAAGGCAATGGACCTGGAGCGTTTTTTGCGGATCCTCTCTAGACTTTGGTCGATTTAGCCTCCTACCAGTACGTTCTCTGTTTCCTTCTCCGTCGTTCGCTTGTCTGTTTCTCTCCTCTCACGATGTACAGGGTACGCCTATTGGTCTTTCGATGTCGGTACCTTCGTCAGTGCGACCAATTCCATTCGACGCCGAATCTAAATCCGCAGAGAACAAATGAAATCTATGAACCCAATCAAAATCATAATAACTGTAAATAATGCCAAGAAGGAAGAACCGTGTGGCTAGAACAAAAATACCCGACTTGGGCGATGATCGTGCAAGTCCACAATAATGCCGGTTTGCGCCATCCATTCCTGCCCGTCAAACTGACGATGACGATGCACGGCTAGTTGGATTTTCCCCCGGTTAATCCCTTCGCATGATTTTCATGAACAAGAAACACGAAACGAAACGAATAAAGAAAAGACAGAAAAAGAGGGAAGAAATAAAGAGAGAATGAAAAGAGTTACGAGTCAGGCCCACTCCAATTTTCGACAATACGTCGGTGGACCTTCAAGATCCCAACCAATGCAACGTCTGGACAATTTGAAACAGACTTCGAACAACAAGATACCGCGCTGCATAAAAAGTCCTTGACAATTTCATCATTCCGAGACTATACTATTTACCAGAAGCGAAGTGTATCAACCGGGGGTCTTACACAAAACATACACATATAGAAGCTTACACATATCAATCCTTCCAGTGGGACGGTCGAGGATTGAGTTCCTCTCATGATCCCGAGGGAATATACTTGGAGAGTGGATGTTTTGACGTGTTATTGTCTACTCGACTGGCTAGCGATCTTCTGGACCTTTTTGCCCCCTCCGACCCCATTTGTTGCTACCCAAAACGATTTTCGGCCCTAGACGTCCATCGACAAGGGTTGTCACCGCCAACAAACCAGATGGAACGGAAAAAGAAATATCAAAGAAGGAAAAAAGAAAAAAGAAAAGAAAAGAAAAGAAAAAAAGACGTCGACGACGCACTGCCCGCTGCACGATGATGCTCCAGACAGGACAGCATGGAATAAGGGCAGCCAGTCGGGTCCGCTGACGGGGAGATTCACAAATGACGATAATTCTGGCTGGTGGGTCATCCAGGCGTCAATGGCAAAAGAGTCTAGCAATATAGCTGCTCAGCCCTCCACCGCTAGAAAGATTTTCAACCGCAGGGACCAAAGTACCCTCGATGAAAGAGAATTTGGGGAAGATGATGATGTGATAAGGATATCATGAGGAGATGATCATTCAATTGACAACGCTGATCCCACACTAGGTAAACCAGTAGGTACTAGGCACCCAACATGGCGAAGAACCACCACCAAACCATGAGGTTTCACCGTCTAGTAGCGAACGGTCGACACGATTCTAAATCTGGGCCAAGAGCGCCGGCGTGGGCCCGAGACCTAGATCCTGGTAATGACTGCGCACTCTGTAACTTTGCCACAACAAGCATCATCTCGGAGACGGTACCTACGGATACTACTACCTCCTATCTGCCCTGAGGGGCCGGCTCCGCGTCCCTTTGAACGTGCCGGTCAAGCCAAGAACCATGAACTGTGGGGATTATCGCTCTGGACTTGTACCTAGGCAGAAGCCACCTTTGGTTTTCCCTTGTTGCTTTCTTTAGCCTGCTTGGATTCTTTGATCTTCCCCCTTTTTTCTCTCTCAAACGGTGTTGACTGGCAGCCTCGTCACAGTGGCGCTGATCGAACGGTCAATCACACGCTTCATAATTGAATATTGGCCATCCCGATCGAGTATTCCGAAGCATCACTGGAGTGACTGTTGGATGAATGATATCTACCTAGATACGGATACTACCAATATCAATCGTCTGATTGGCTGCGGTCTTCCATGCTGGACTAGGCAGCTCGACACGAAGCTCGGCCTGGCGACACATCAAATCTCCCACGACCTGGTTGCAACATCCCGGTACTCCGTCCTCGGCTGTTGTTTCCTTTCTCTATGGTAGTTGGGACGGTAGGGGCTCGACCGCTACATGGGTAGTGTAATGGACGAAAGATTTGTTGGAGATTGTGGGGATTGGTCATCATCATCATTTTTTCGATCTGTCCCCAGGATTAGGTCATACTGAATTGTCTTTTAAGCTCTCGTTCCCCAGATTTATACGAGTAGATGTACGCTGTGGGGTTCAAATAGTGCTTATATAGAGGATGGAGGGAAGAAGACACACCGAGCCTTGGCATGCTCCAAGACCCAAGTCTGAGTTCTCGCTATGAACATAGCAGGCATATGCGATATGAGCATACCTCACCCACTCCCTGAAAGCAGACGACACTTGGGCCTGGTGAATCTATTTTCACCAAGCATGACATTTACAAGTTATTGCACATCCCAACCGATAAGCAGTCAAATGAGAATTGCCACAAACAAAGCAAAGAACCATGCTAATTTAAGTCTTACACCCAGATATAACCCCGTGGCATGATGTCCTTCATAGTATAGTACGGACTATGGAGCAATTCCTGCAGACTACAGTCCACGGCTCAACTTAGCGTCTCCACCAGACAGTGTCTACTATCTCCGACCGAGTCCACACAACGGCCGAGGGTTTCCCGTTCGATCGCTGTCTCTCCTTCAACATGTTTGGAGTCAGGCATAACTATAACGATGTCACGGACACACGGCTAAGTAACCCACTTATTAAGCCCGATCTACGGGATAGGCAATGACGTTGTTGATCGGTTTGAGAACTAACCAGATTGATGTCGGTAGACTGCATGATAGTTTTTGAGGCGACTATATACTAAGCAATTTCAACATCTACTCCAAACTCTCCCTCAAATGTTTTCAAAAATGCTTGAACAACTGAGATACCGAAGAAGAACTGTTCGGACGAAAGGGAAGCTTCGGCTCACGGGCTGTCACGTTCGCATGGGCGATCCAACCAGGTCACCGATGAACAGAATCAGACCATGGTTCTCACTAGTGTGGTGCACTGATCAATCCTCCTTGGTTTTACTTGACGATTCTCTATCGATGAGTTAGTAATGGACCATCCCAGACATAATCAAGACATAGGAATAAGATCATACGAATGAATCCAGACAGTGGATCAACAGGAGATGGATCGGCGGCGAAATGACTTCACGTTTGCTGGACTTTGCTGGACTTCCCTCGGCCCTGCACGGGATCAACCCCCCCACACGTGACTGGGAACACCCCGGGAATTCGGGTCTCCGCAGCAGCACGAGAATGAGCAGAATGAGAAGAGTCATCATACCCCATTTCTTCTCTTCTTCCATTTCTTCTCTTCTCTTCCTCCCCTCCAATCTATCCTAAACCATTGACCCTTCTCTCTTCTCCTCCCCCTTTCTTCCTATCTCTCTCTCTTCATTCTTCCCTCACCCCCTCACACACTCCCCTCTGTCAATCTCCCACTAGTCCTTCCTCCGTTCCGAGCTCGTGGAAGCGGAGAGTCCAACCTCGGCAGTCAATTTCACTTTCCTTCTCTCCCCATTCGCCCTGCCTTTCTCCCCTCCTCCTCATTCTCCCCCATTGCACCACCTAACTTCTATCCATCCTTTTTGATTCCGCTCATATCAACGATCGCTTCTGCTGGATTATTCCAGTGATCAATCCGTGTGACTCCAGGCCGCGAGGCCTGAATAGCACCCATCATGTGGAAACCGTCGGAGAGACTGATGGACACCATCAGACATTATGCCAGCTTTCCTGCCACCGGCGTCTCTCTCCGGCAGATGGTCCAATTTGGCGACCGTCCATCAACAGGTACGTTTCCGGTTTGGTTCACTCGCGACGCGAATGCAGCGTGATGGGAAAATCCCCCCTCCCCCCTCCCAATAATGACGGACGATCGCTGATCGCCCTCCTATCAGGCACTCTCTTCCGTGCCTCGCAGTTCTTGTCCGAAGAACTTCCCATCCGATTGGCTCATCGCGTTCAGGATCTGGGCGAGCTTCCAGATGGATTGAGTGAAATGCCCTCCATCAAGAAGGTCCAGGACTGGTATGCGCAGTCGTTCGAGGTTTGACCCACCCGCTCCCCCTTCCCTTCTGCCGCCCCCTCCCGGCCTGTGGCGTTCTAACCGTTGCGCACAGGAAATCATCACCCTCCCGCGACCCTCCCTCACCCAGGAAGTCAAAGCCCGCCTGATGCGACCGAACCGAATCAATGGGGGCCAGTCTAAAATTCTCTCCGAGACCACCCAGAACCCCAGCGTCAAGGAGGGCCAATACCGCTCCTCCCCCAGCTCGGCGGTGCAACATAACACCAATGGGAAGGGTGTGGCGGTGCGGAGATATTTCGTTCCCTCCGACGATCAAGGCAACTGGCCCCCGGAGCTAAACGACTACAACGAACGCTTCTCCAAGACCTTGCAGCAGATCAAACGGCGACACGACGGCGTGGTGACCACCGTGGCCCAGGGCATCCTGGAATGGAAACGGAAACGCCAGCGTCTGCAGATCGACTCCACCGTTCAGTCCTTCCTCGATCGCTTCTACATGTCCCGCATTGGTATCCGCATGCTCATCGGCCAACACATCGCCCTCACGGAACAGACCCACGTTCGCCACCCGCACTATGTCGGGATCATCTGCACCAAGACCAACGTGCGGGAGATCGCGCTCGAGGCCATTGAAAACGCTCGCTTTGTCTGTGAGGACTACTACGGTCTCTTTGAAGCGCCCAAGGTTCAGCTCGTCTGCAAGGAGGACCTGAACTTTATGTACGTTCCGGGACACCTCTCGCATATGCTATTTGAAACCTTGAAGAACTCGCTGCGCGCCGTGGTGGAGACATACGGCGCCGACAAGGAGGCGTTCCCCGTCACCAAGGTAATAATCGCCGAAGGCAAGGAGGACATCACGATCAAGGTCACCGACGAGGGTGGCGGCATCCCGCGTTCCGCCATCCCCCTGGTGTGGACGTACATGTACACCACCGTCGAGCAGACGCCCAACCTGGACCCGGACTTTGACAAGAGCGACTTCAAGGCTCCCATGGCCGGGTTTGGCTACGGACTGCCCATAAGTCGTCTGTATGCGCGCTACTTTGGTGGTGATCTGAAGCTGATCAGCATGGAGGGGTGAGTTCTCTTTTTTTTTTTTTTTGTTGTTTCTGCCGTCATCGACTAATATGTGACAGGTACGGAACGGATGTGTATCTGCACCTCAATCGGCTCTCCTCGAGCTCGGAACCCCTCCAGTGACAATTACCAGTCATGAGGGATGGTCGTGTTCGGTTCACCACTTCCCATAGACTCCATCCATCTTACCTGGAGCCTGACCCACCGACATCCCAAGGATTGACGCCGATGAATATCGAAGCAGCTCGCGCTCGACTGCGGACGCGGGAAGTCTCAGAGCGCAAACAGGTCGGCGATGCGGAGAGCCGTCTCAACGCTTAGGAGTTAAATTCAGCCAACACGGATGCTGGCAACCTTATCCTGTTTCATTGCTGGGATTGGCAAAACAAAAGGCCACGCCAACCTAGCGAGCGACCGCCGCACCGCATCATTCAGTGTTTCCAATTTAGCGCTACCATCGCGCTCCCACACTTACACCCACTCACATCAACACTCACACAAACACTCACGCCCGGGGGGGCCCATCATGTGAACATGAACACCATGGGCAGACATCACGGGATATTATCTCTAGAGGGAAACCCCCTTGGATGGAGACCATCTACTATAGGCAGACACAACCCTGCAAGGTCGAAGATACGATCAAACACTTGGAATTAGGCATGTTAATTTCCAAACGAAAAATGCAACCAACAATAAATTCAAAAATGCAATTCTCTAAAAGCATCGAAATATGAAAATAAAACGGATAGTAAGGAACAGCCGTTTGATAGATATGACCATTGTGCCTGATACGCATCTTGTTATTTGCTTTCTTCTGTCTGAGCTAGTTTCGGTGATCTCAAAGTTATCCATTGTTTAGTAGGATGGTAAGTAGGGATGGATTTAGGATGTGTTGTGGGTATAGATTATAGCTGATAGCTTTGAGCGGGGGGATAGGATAGAAAGGACGCACCGGCAGGTGTTACAGTAATATGATATGCTCTAATCATGACTGACTTGACACTATCCAGTTATATAGAGTATGTAGATGGATGGATGGGTATCGAAGCAAAGGATGACAATCACACGCCGCAGCAAGATTTCTCAGAGAATAAGAAGAAAAGAAGAAAAAAAAAAGCAAAATACCAACGGCCAGATCAAACCTCAAAAAGACTTTCAAAAACCCCCCTCATCATTATCGTAATCATCAGACCCCTCCCTCCGCCGTCTCTCCAACTCCCGCTCCCGCTCCCGCTGTAGTCTCCGACTCGCCGAGCCAGACCCAGACCCCGCCCCAGAACCCGAAACAGCCCTCCCCTTCGACGGCGTCGCATTCTCCCTCCTCGCCGACGCAACAGAAGAAGGCGCAGGCGATGCCGACCCCGACGAATTCCTTCCGCCGGAGCGAGACCCAGAGCCAGAACCAGGCGGAATCACCGGCTCCGGCCTCTTCCACCCATCATCATCTACGCCGTACGCGTCTACGATCTTCCGATGGACGGTGATAGGTGTGGACCCTGATGATGCCGACGAGGTGACGAATGACTGCGGTGCGGAGGGCGATGATGGACGGTGGCGTTTTTGGGTACTGCCGCTGCTGGTGGTGGTGGTAGTGTTGGGCTGGATGGTGAATCTGTCTGCGCGGATGGAGGCTGCGATGTCGGCGTCTTCGGGGGCCATTAGTTTGGAGAGGAAGCGGCGGCGGGCTTGGGGGAGGGTCTTTCGTTTTGTTAGTTCTGTTTGGCTTTTTTTTTTTTTATTATTTTTTTGTGATATCATTGTACGTTGGGGTTTGAATGGAGGTGTGAGGAAGGAAAGGGATCAATCAAAGGGGGAAAGAATTAAATACCTCCTGCGCAGCCAACGCTTGGATAGTAAGCAGCTCCCTATCCATCAACACACAAAGCGCAGCATGGCGCTCCTCGCGCAGTCGACTGCGGACTTTCTTCTCCTGCTCGATGGAGGTATGGTACGTGCCGTGTGGATGGTGGGGGTGGTGGTGATGTTGGCGATGGCCACGCACGCGGGGATCAGCGGGTGCGAATTGCATGGTTGGATCGAGACCTGCTAGATCTTGATTTTTACGTATCTGTTAGTTTGTCGAAGCTGAGATAAGATAGATAGAATGGAAGTAATTAGAGTAGGATGGCTGAAGATGCGGGGAGCATACTGTAACCGCCCATTTCACGCGCCTGGTGCTGGGGATACTCGTCCACCTGCATGGAGTCATTCTCGCTCTCGTTGTCTGCGTCGGAGATTTCTTCGTCCGAGTCGATGAGGATTGGGACGGGGGTGTTGAGGCTGTGGCTTGGGCGGCGGGGGTTGGGGGCGTTGGGGTTGAACATTTTGTAGTATAATAGCGAGGTCCGTTGGTGGTGTGTTGTAGCTGATATTTCTGCCCGTTTGATTGAGATTTGATTGAGTTGTTGGCTCTGGGTGGACTTTATTGAGGGTAGTTCATTGATCGGTAGGTAAAGTAGTGAGCAGCAATACTCGTGTGTATAAGCCCCAATCAAACAGACAGACAGTAATCTATCCGAGCAGGGTCCAAACAGGCACAAGCCAAAGCTGCAGCAGATGATCAAGATCAGTGATCCAGGTGCAAGCTATGCAGCTTCCAATCTTGTCAAAAGATCCACCTGATAGTGTCGAGAACAACAATTGCAATTGAAAAGTGGACGTCCTTCTGATCGACAGCAATTATGTCGAGCTAATCAAGCTCCTAAAGCGGAGTCCCAATCAGGCAGACAGGCAGCTAGTTGACAAGTGTGGTACGGTGGGAACTACACTATTATTAATAAGAGTATACATACTAGGGAAGAAGAACATACCTATTCAGAGCTAACTCTCTTCTCATTCAATCAATCTGAAGCAGTGGGTGCGTATGTTGGGTAAGAGTCTTGGAAAGATGAATGAGATGGACTGACGCTGTAGTTGTTGTATCGGTGGATGCGACTGGTTGCTTAGTCACTACCCTTATGCACCTAGCTATGTAGATATGCACATCCACTTGCTATATGTATAGACATCATTTTACACCACTACAACTCACTCTGGATAATTATCTCATGGATGAGGCAATCAATACTGCAAGTAATAAGCAAGCATGTTTAAAAAATAGAAAAGTACGATGATATACTCTACCATGGTGAGCAAAAACTTAACTCAATCAGACAAGCATAAACTATAAGAATGCGCACAACGCGTATGGGACACGATTAGGATATCAAAGATAAAAACAAAAACTGAAATGACACAAGAATTGAAAAAAGAAAAAGAGAGAAAAAGAAAAGTAAAGTAAATCATCACCCCAAGCCACTCCAGCCTCAGCACAAACTACCGAACCCGAATAATAACGCCCTCCAACACCGATCACCAGAAAATGGTAAAGTCGACTCACAGAGCCTTTTTGAAGGGAAATTAAAAAGATGAAAGAAAAGATGTTCTTTGAGTGCAATGTCAAAGAAGCTCACTGCGCAAATTGAGCCGTCCACCTGCGCCGACGAGTGCGGCAGGCTCAAGACGTGCCAAAGCAGCGCTCGATGCTATGTATCCTGTGACCAAGTCACAGCGTTCAAGAAACATACTATGTAATGTGCAAAATCAACAGCCATGCATGAAAGAGTTCTTCGGCCAGTCGTAGCCAGTGTCCGCCCTAGACAAGTCAGTCAGCATCGTCGCCTTTAACAGAGAAAAATAGATAAAGGGCGTACCAGGTCGTCTTGTTGGGGTTTTTGTAAGCCTCAGGATGCTTCTCTATGTACTCAGTCGTCTCATAACCCGGTGGGTCACATGTGAGGCTGATATTATCAGGGTCCTGATAAATTCGGACGTAATCAAACCGCATCACGCCGGGCATATAGTCGGCGATGGAGCCGTTGATGCCGGCGAAACTCTCAGCCATACCCAGGTTCATGACCATGGCCAGAGGCTCCAGGGGGATCATGCGTTGGCCGATATTCCCGTTGGGTCCGATGGAGCGCCCGTCCAGAGTCCAGGTTTTGTTCTCGCCCACGAACCATGTCACTTCGCCGGTTGCCCCGGGGGTGTACTCGAAGGCGTACGTCTGGTACTGCTTGCCGTTGTACCAGTCGTTGTTTAAGTAGGTCAGGCCGGACATGGCTTGCTGGAGGGGGCCTCCGCGGTATGAGTTGATAGACGTGATATTGGGGTCGTATACGGCGGTGAATTCTAGTTTGGTCAGACAGGGCCATACCAAGGATAGTCAATCAAACACTTACCGTAGTCGGGCATATACCAGATATCGAACGGAGCCATTTGCAGACTTTGCGACACGTCACCGACGACAGCACCGCCGTTATCGTTGAGCGGCCGCACGCTCGCTTCGATCACATCGATTTCGGGGGCACTTCGCGCCTTTCCCGGAGTGGGGTGGTCGGAGCCTCCACACGTACAACCGGGAAGACGCATGCCAGGCAGGAAGTTGATTCCGTCTGGGGAACTCTGGTTGGGCGTGATCCCGGCATCGCACTTGTCGTGGTAGCTGTAGGGCCACATCCCTTCCGTAGTGGCGGCGTATCCGGGTCGTCCGAGATTGCCCATTGCCCAGAAGCCCGGCCAGAAGCCCGATACGTCGCCAGATCCCGGCAGCGATACACTGGCTTCCAGACGACCGCCGCTGAAACAGAGCTTGTTCCAGCTTTGTACCATTCCAGAGCGGTATTTCAGTTCGTGGTTGGGGAATTCGTCAAATCGAAGCTCCAAGACACCGTCTCTGGTGGTGACAGCATCTGGATCATACCACTAAGGGATATCAGCGGCGTCCAGGGGAAAAGGCCGCGACAAAACTGACCTCAAGATCCTGTGTCACGCCGTACCATATATCCACCGCCTGATAGAACGGATCGTCCCCATCGTAGAATGTTCGGCCGGGGGTGTTGAACTCGTCGGAGAACTAAAAGATTGTCAAACGCAACTCAAAACCAGTCTCGTTCCAGTGTACTGACTACTAATTTCAATTCCGTGCCATCGGCAGCCGTCTTGGACATAGCAGACTGCGGCGTATCCGGGTCGATAAGACCTTTCCTCATATTGGACAGCAGCGGACGCTCCCCTACGTCGAGACATAGCGTATCCCCCGGGTGACAAAGCGGCCCATCTTTCTTCATCCCCTTGACAGCTGTTCTAGAGGAAGAAGTCAGTGACCAGAAGAGTCTAATTCTTTCTACGGCGGGCTTCATACATAACGGGGTAACCGATAAACAGCACGAGGAAGCCCACAGTCAGCAAGACCAACCCGCCCACGTTGATGAGACCCCGCCGATTCCAGATATCGCATTCTTGCTCGTGGTCATCCGGGTCCGGGTTGTGCATGGCGTCGTCCTTCTCCACATCTTCCGGGAAGAGCAGCAGCCCTTCTGTGGGCGTGATGTTGTACTTCCCCGCCACCGTCTGCGTATTCACGTCGTTCTCTTCGCTGCCCTCGCGAGACGGCGCGCGCGAGTCCTCGAACGGGATGGAGGCGTATCCGCGGGCGTCGTAGCTCCCCCCGTCGGAGGTCCAGCTTGTCTGTCGCGACAGGGAAACGGGGCGCTCTGGAGAGTGCAGACTGGCGCTGTACTCCTCGCGAGGTCGGTGTGGTGGCGGGGGGATCAAGAACTCGCTTGACTCCCGCGGGATGGTCGATGAGTATACTGTCCGCACGGTGCCGGACGACGGCGAGTGTGTCATCTCGGAGGTCAGAGCCCGCCCGATTTGCGGGGATGGCGCCGACACGTACGGATCGTCGACGTCCGTGAAGGGATCATGGCTTCCGGAATTGAGGCGGATCTGTGGCGTCTGTCGGGGGCCATTGGGGTCGGTCATTGTGCAATAATCGGTTGTTGTCCAGTTTCTATTCTATCCAGTGTCGCTGGGTATCTTCGACGGTATGACGGTAGACTGAAGACCAGGTGGGCCTAGTATCTGTTGTACAAGGCTCAATTCACTCTAGACATCAAGCATCCCACAGCACATTTCCTTTCTTTCCGGTGCGCAGCTATCACGGTTTCAAAGTAGCAACAATAACAACCACTGCTGTCTCTCACGGTAACGACAGAATTCGAACCCTCTAGTCCAGAAACCGACACCAGACGCGCAATCAGCAGTTCAAGCAGATGCAGCACGCGAAAACGAGCGGACAGGACAGGCGCAATCGTCCTTTACCGTGTATTGCAAGCGTCGGGGTCGCAGTCGAATAGTTGAACAGAAGACAGCGGCGAAACAAACACAAATAGAATATGAAGAGCAAAGTGGCCGACAGGGCGTCGAGGGGCAACAGAAAGGGAAGAAAAACAGAATGCCGAAGAGGGACGGAGAAGAATGGAAGAGAGAAACAGGCGTCGGAATATGGAACGAGCAGGCAGCGAAGGAAGGGATAATCCCACCTCTGTCCGTACTAACTATGCGTACTTCAAACTCCAACGCTGTATGTCTATGCACGGAAGCTTTTTCTTCAATCACGTTTGAGTTGTTACTATCTTCGTCGACTGTTTACTTTTCCTTTCTCCTGACGCATTGCATGAAGAGGTGAAGAAACCAGATCGATCATCCCTCAATACTCACTCCTCAATCATTCGTCCAGGCGAATATTTACTCCATACCAAACCACATGCCATACCAGACGAAGAATCCGGTTGCCATTCACAACCTTGCTCTCTAATCAATGACACCTGGCCAGACTCATAGGGACCATGGTCCAGCATAATATCAATGATCAATATATGGCATCCCTTGTAACGGCGCCAAACCCACATGTATAACGCCGGCATGATCAGATATCAAGGAACGGCCATGACGATCCCTTGAATAATGTGATCTGAGAGGCACACACAGAGAGAGAGACAGAGACAGTGAAGACATGCTCCCCCACGACTCCCTCCGCCGTTGATTCCATTCCCGAACACGCGTTCTGACAGATCATATCATATCACATCCGTCTCCTACAGGGCGTCCATCCCCCTCCGTACCATCGCTTCGCATCCTCATCCCCAGAACCACAGGAGTGTCTCCTTCATATACCCTCGAGACCGTCCTCCCTGACAAGACTCTAGGCTCCTAGCCTCCTGGAGTCTCCTCATCCATTCCAGCCCCCTCGGCAAATGAGTAGGTAGGTAGGTTAGTATCCAACAATATCTCTAACCCCCTTACATAGTCTCATACTTTCGCCCGCCGCTATGTGCCTCATCAGGACGATCCGCCAAGGATGCTGGAAATAAATCATAATATAGAACTGAGCGTAGCCGTTGGTTCCGGCTTCGTTCATTCGAGCTTGCTGTGAATTGGACCCACGTCGAAAGGCTTGACTGGTACCTTAGGTAGTATTGCAAAGAATACCACTCGGCTACAAGACACATCTAGACACTTCTGAGCTCTGCGGGTACCCTTTTATGCACTATCTTATATTCCGACAGGTAGGTAGGTACCTACTACTGTATATTACCGCGATTGGGTAGGTAGCTTACATACATTAAGGACTAAAATGGTTTTAAGAGTGGTTACGTTTGTATCTCATACGGCCATTACCTAACCCGGGAGGGAGATACAATATATCATCACCTAAACCAAGGAATTACATATACATATCCATATACATACACAAGCGACAGTGCAAACTACTCCATAGTATTTCCAACCCTCAATGAATCTCATCCTACTCCCCCACAACTAAACAACCATAAAACTCCCAATAATACCCCCAACAGCAATAAATCCAAATCAACTCTCAACAGCCTTCACCCTCAGCCCAACGAGCAAACTCTCCTCAATGTTCAACGCCAACAACCAATACTCCACGCGCGACGCCCCCACCTCCACCCGATAAACCTTCACATCAACAGTCGACTGATGCGGTGCGCCGCCGGCCTCCGAAGACGGCGCCTGCACGGCCGCCGCACGCACAGCGCGCAGGACAGTCGCGTACTGGTTATGCGGGTCGAAGGCGGAGGGCGAGAGGGTCGAGATGGACGAGGAGAGGTCTGTTGTGGGGGAGATGAGGTTTGAGAGGTTTGCTAGCACCATTCATATTCGTTAGCATCCATTTATATCATACATACATACATACATATATAGAAAGAAGGACGGGGGAAAGTAAAAGGAGAGGAAGACATACTCGGATCCGGCCAGATCCCCTTCACGGCCTTCTCCCACTTCAGCGTAACAGGCTCAAACGGCTCATCCGTCTCGGAGACGTAATACGCATCGACGGAGGTGAGCGGGGTTGGGACGCGCACGTCTATGTCGACTGCTTCGGTGCGGGCGATGGATTGTCGCTGGGCGCGCTCTGCGCGGGCGTTGTTGAGGTCAGCGTTGGCTTTGTCCAGGAAGGACATGTAGGCGTCGTCGGAGGACATTGTTCTGGTTTGGTATTGGATTGGTGGGGTTGGGGTGCGGTTTCTTGTGGTAATAATGGTGGTTGGCTTGGTGGGAGATGAGAAGATCCCTGAATTTGGGTGGGTGTAACGAAGAGAAGAACGGTGGGAGAAAGAGGACGTTTGTCTTTGAGGACGGTAGATAACTGTTGTTGGGACGAGACAAGAAAGTAACGAAGATGATGAGGTCGGGCGTGAGATGCGATCAATGACGCAATGAGCACTTCGGGAGCGCTGCATCTGGATTGGTGGGGTTGTGGAAGGGTGCAATTCGGTCACTACTAGACTCAGCTGGAAGAAAATGGAATGGTAGTCAAGTCGGGTGGGAAAGCCGCTGGGTGACTTGCGGAAGGATTATATATTGCCCGGTTTAATATATGTATGTTTTTGCTTAATGAAAAGATTTATTTGTAATAACTCCCTTGAGGTCAGATAGTGACTCTATTGTTGGAAATAGCTCGTGTGATGATTTTTTTACTAGATGAGTTCTTGGCCGCTTCTGATCGTAGGGTCGAGTTTCGTCAATTCACATCTGGCTGGAGCAAGCACATACTCAGTACGTCGGTGCAAACTACGTAGACTAAAGATCTTTAGAGGAATTACCCACACCATCGTTGAAAAATATTGTCCGCTTTTTTCATTGAAAATAAATAAGATACGTTGCACTACACCACCATAACACCCTAAGCCGAAGTGACGAGGTCCTTCTTGAGCGTACCCATGAAGGCCCGCTTCTCCTCGGCAGTCTGGAAAGCACCGTGTCCGAACTTGGACGAGGTGTCGATCCACTTGAGATCGACCTTCTCGGTGGCACGGCGGTTGGTCTGGGGGTACAGGGTCTTGCGGAGAGTCATGACACGCTTCTTCACACCGGGGATGGAGCCCTTGAGCATGACGAAGTCGTTCTTGACCTCACCGTAGTGGACGAAACCACCCATGCTAAGATACTGTTAGTAGGCGGTTCCTGAAGAAATTGAGGGAGGGGAACATACGGAGTGATCTGCTTCTTGGAGATATCGAACTCGGTCGAGGCGTTACCCTCATCGGTGCCCTTGCCCACACGGAAGACCTTGTGGTTGCAAGAGGTACGGTGGTGGTAACCCATCTGACCGGCACGGGCAACAGTCCACTGGACGTGGTTAGGATGCCAGGCACCAATACAGGCGACCTTACGCAGACCCTTGTGGGTCTTACGGGGCAGCTTGGTGGTACCCCAACGGCTGGTGACACCCTGGTAACCGTGACCCTTGGTGACGGCAATGACATCGATCATTTCGTCCTTCTCGAAGATGCTGTCGATCTCAATGGGCTTCTCGAACAGGTTGCGGGCAAAGTCAACCTTGTCGGCGACGTTGCCACCGTTGACCTGGATCTCCATGAGGTGGGCCTTCTTCTGCTTGATGGGAGTCTGGCGGATCTGGGTGTGGGCGAGGACACGGACGACCGTGCAGTACTTCTTCATGCGCTCCAGCTCGCGGGTGATGGCAGAGCCGGACTCATCGGCGTGCTTCTTGGCGTACTTGGTGAAGGCCTTCTTCTTGGACTTGTACCAGTTCTTGTAGAAGCGACGCTTGACCTCGTCGCTCAAGTGCTCAGCCCAGACGGTGGTGAGAGAGCGGAGACCACGGGGAGTCTCGATGTAACCGACAACACCGACGGCAACAAGCTAAAAAAAAAAAAAAATCAGTCAGCCTCTCATTCCAACGATCAAAGCCCTTTGAATTTTTTTTTTGGTCACATACGGGAGGAGTCTCGACAACGGTGACAGCCTCAACGATCTCCTTCTTGTGCATCTTGGCACCGGGTCGGTCAAGGTCACGGACGATGGTGGTCATACCAGCCTTGTAGCCCATGGAGGCCGTCAGGTGGACGGGCTTCTTGGCGTCATCCTTGGGGAAGCTGTAACAACTCTTAGTATACTGTCGTGCGACCGAATCCAAATTTTCACTCCCTCCAGATATACTGACCTCTTGACCTTTCCGCGGTGACGGGTGGCGCGCTTGCGCGGCAAGAACGCAAGGGAGCCTATAGAGAACTGGTGTTAGCTAGTCGGATACACATAGAGAAGAAAAATCATCTCGAGATTTTTCGACTCCAATCTGGATGCGAGAGAACGAGGTGGACGAACCGTGCCGAGGCGCTTCGTACTTCCGGTGACTCCTGTTCAAGAAATGCAATTAATACGTCTGATTCGATCACTTCCAAACGGCATTGGATAGCCCATCAAACAGGAGTACTCACATCTTGACCCTGTTGTCGTTAGTCGTCGAGGTGGTAAGTAGGAGAGTCTATCTTTGAGTGCGCCGGATGTCGGTCGTATTTTGCACGCTTAACGAGTGTGGGCTGACCTAAGCGAGAGCTTGGCAATCTATTTCCCTTTTAGGATAAGCGATTGAGGGCTGCCGCCTGAGGCACCCCACGCCACCCAAAAATATCCCTCACCGCCTTGCCCCATCGGCAGTTCCTGACCCGGGTTGATTTTGCGTTTCGTTGCCTGAGGATCCCTCGTCCTCTGTCGTGGTGGACCAGTCTGGCAAGTGACACCTACTCAAACTACTCAAGGATGACATCGGCGGAGGGCCCATTCTACGATAGAATCTCGTCCAGTTCTGATATCGAATTTGCCAATTTACAAGGCAGCACAGCTAATAGATAACGCAAAACCATTCAAACGGGGGTCATCGAAGGGCTAGAAAATTGAGCTTTAAACTAGATACAGACATAACTTTAGAACCACCCCAGCTACTGTGCCAATCGAAATTGTACAATACAGCCCCAGGTGTTAAACCAACAAGTGAGGACAGAACCCTGCGAAAAGTGGTTGGGGAGGATAGAAGAATTTAACCACAATAGATCAAAGTAAAAAAAATATAAAAAGTAAAAGTAAAGAAAACACAGTGCGGGGTGCAAACGAAGGTAACGTGAGGGGTGGAAAGGTCGCGGGCAATCGGTCGCTAGTTTGAAAACAAACCAATCCCAACGATCTGTTGTGCGAAAATGACGTAGGCAAGGTCTTCGTCCTCAAGCGGTCGACTCCGGCTTCGACTGCGAAGACTGGCTCCCACCGCTCAACACATTGTTGCTGTTGTTGGCGCCGCCCGATCCATTGCCGTGGGGGCTGCCCTTGACGGCGGCGCTGGGTCGCTTTTCATCATCACCATCGTCATCATAGTTCTCGTCAACGTCCATTTTCCGTGCAGCGGGCTCGTGCGCCGGGGGCTGTTCGCCGCGAGCCGGTTCCTCCTTGACCTGCACCTGGGTGGTAGAGGGCGGTCCCGAGGGAGGTCCATTTGACGGAGGACCGGAACTCTCATTCATCGCGGGCAAGCTGGGCCCGGAGCCATGCGGAGGCATGTGCTGGATGGGCGGGAGGGTAGGAGGGTGGTGAGCCGCCTCAGAGGGGTGATAGTTTTCGTTGATCCGTCGCTGATCCTCGCGGCGAGCCTCCGAAGAGCTACGGCGCTGGATTTCGCCTGGGGAAGGCATGCGGTTCGGCGGAGAGGCGCGACGAGTCATCTGTTCATCTAAGCGGGCACGGCTCTCTTCATTGGCAATCTTCTTGACGGGCCCGGCGTCCGCCTCCCACTCCCGACCGCGCTTCATGGCCGAAGCCGGGCGGTCCTCGCGTTCACGAGCAGCCGCTTCGGCCGCAGCCATCGCCGACGCGGGTGGAGGGGCGCCGCCCGCGATGCCAGTGCTGCCAGCTGTCTGGACAGGCACGCTGGGGCCGTGATGATACTGCTGGTGGGGGTAGGTAGAGCCCGGAGAGGACGGTCTCTCGTCGCGGATCGGGCGGATTTCCGAGGGCGGGGTGAAGGGGCGCTGATAAGGCGGAAGAGCACCACCAGGGCTAGGGCCAGGAGGGGGCCCCACGGCCGCGGGAGGACCGACCGGAGCAGGGGGAAGGGGACCGCGAGCGGTGGAGCTGAACGCACTGGCGGCGCTCGGGGCCCGCTCGTGCGACGGAGGAGGGGGAGGGTTGGCAAGTTGGGGGAGTCCATGAGCCGGGGCGTACACACTGGGTCCGACCATCGCAGTCTTCGGGGAACGTGCTGCCGCTTGCGGGCGGACCGCTTCGGGGAACACCCGGCCGGAGTCCTGTCGCGGGCTGGGCTGCTGGAGGAGAGCCGTGGGCCGGAGCTGGTCGCGGTGGTCAAATCCGTTGGCAGCCTGAGCTTGCGCCTGGGCCTGAGCCTGCGCGTGAGCCTGGGCCTGGGCTTGAGCGGCCTGGGCCTGGGCCTGAGCCTGCGAATGCAGCTCATTGATGCCACGGTTCCAGTCCGCGATCTGCCTCGGGGGAGCCGGGGCCTGAGGGGGTGGGCCGCCGGTCGGGGCCGGTGCGCCCCATTGGGGAGCCGGGGGGGCTCCGACTCCGGGGGCCTGGTAGGCCTGGGGGTGAACGTCTTGAGGCTGGGGAGCAGGAGCGCTGTTCTGGTTGGTACCGGACAGCTGGCTTTGAAGCAGTTGCAAACGGGCTTTGATGTGAACGTTGGCGGGATCCAAGTCCGCCGCACGGCCATACGCATCAAGGGCGTCTGCGATTTGGTTGTTGCAGGACTCGTACTGGACTGTCGTTAGCATGTATTGACTCGCCGTATTGCTTAATGTCTTCCTCATCACTTACCAGAGTGCCCAGATCGTACCACACCTCTGAGATGTAAGGGTTCAGGCGAATGGCCCGCGAGTACGCATCCAGAGCATCGCGGTATTGATTGATCTGGTAGTAGAGGACACCGATCGAGCACCAGAAAGTAGGATTGCGACCGTCGCGGTAGACGGCTTGTTGGTAGGCTTCATAGGCCTTGGGATACTTGGCTTGCGACATGTAGCAACGACCCAGGAGATACCAGCTTTGCGCATCGTTGTTGTCTGTGGCAGAAACCAATTAGAATTGCTTCGTCCGTCAAGGAATGCTCCCCTCGCATTATCGTAAACTCACCAGCGGCCACGGATTTTTCAAGGTATTCGATAGCCTTCTCTTGGCTGGCATAGCTGTTGCTCTGCTGGTGATACAGCCATCCGAGTTGCTGCAACACCTTCGCATGGTTGGGATCGCGGTCCAAAACCCGTCTGTAGGCTTGTTGTGCCGAGTCGAACTAGACCGCTGTTAGCGCGGGTTGCAGGTTACACACAAATTCCGGGGCTACTCACGTCTTTTTGCTGCTCGTGGACATGGCCAATTTGGAACCAGATGTCCTCCTCGGTCAAGGGGCGAGGAGGGTCAGAGACGATGTACTTAAAGCACTCCAGACTCTGGTTGAACTTCTGCTGCTGCTTGTAGATTATGCCGAGTCGGAAATAGATTTCGTTGGCCTTCTCAAAATCGGGGGCCATGCGCATGACCTGGGAGAAGGCTTCTTCGGCGTGGTCGAGGGATCCATAACGGTCGTAAAGGATACCAATGCCGTACCACAGCTTGGGTTCCTGCAAAACGCGGTCACGGGTTAGTTATTGGCGAATGGCAATGGGAAGTTCTGTTCACGAACCTTGGGGTCACGCAGATGATAGAGAGCCTGCTGGTACGAGGTGTAGGCCTCTTGCAAATTGTCCATCATCAGATGGCAATGGCCTGAGACCGATCAGTTTTGTGACGGGGAATGAAAGAAGGCGGATGAACAAACCTAGGCTGCCCCATGTCTCCCCACTGCCCGAATCTAACTTCAAGATATTTTGGAGGTACTCCACCGCCTTCGGAAATTGCTCCTTGGTGCGCAAGATACACGAGATGGCGTTCATCGCGGGGATGGACCATTGGTTGTGGCGCAGAGCCTGTTCGTACGCGTTCATGGCGCCCTCCAGGTCACCCATCAACTCCGTCAGACTTCCTATAAAACGAAATGGTCAGTGTCCGTGGACCCCATGACATCCCGCGAGGGTTCGAGTGACGCACCAATTTGAAGCCAAACCTGCTCGTTAAGGGCAGCGATCTTCTGGGCGGTATTCAGGGGAGGGGCCTTCTGGCCTGAGGCCTGCAGCGCAATATGACCATTGACCTGGGGGTGGGCTGCGAGGTGACCATGGTGAGGGGTAACACCTCCCGTGGGCGAGGGCTGAGTATGGGCCATGGTGGCTGTGGGTTGTGGAATTCTATCGCAATGCTACCAATCTCCGGCGAAGTTGCAAGTCTGGCACCCGCGAACTTTGCGACACGATGATGCAATCCGCGTCCGTGCCACCGACAAGTCGCACAAACGCGATATAGGAAGTATTCGCGCGATCTAGTGGACTAACGAGGTTTCAGGACGCAAAGCGCGACAAGTTTCGAGAGTGCGTCTTAAGAGTACGTGTCGCCGAACGGAGGGCGCGAGGCAAATTCGTCACAGGGGAAGAGTGACGGTATCAACGCTGCAACGCTGGGGAAATCCGCCCTGGGGTCTTCTTGGCGATGACGCACCAGCCGATGACGGTAGGGCAATTGAGATATAGTCCAACCAAACCACTGGAGACCGCGAGGGAAATACGAGAGCGAGAAGCTGCGCGGTTTGGAGATCGGAAATGAATGGGAGGCGATATAGCGTCGGAAAGGGAGAGGGTGACAAAAAAGGGTTGTGAAACGAGGAGAGCGGAACCCCCGAAGAAGAAGGTTCAAAAAAAGAAAAATAAAATAAAATAAAATAAGACAGACACACACAAAACCAAAGAAGAGAAGAATTGGAATACAAATTGGAGATGAAGCGGGAGTGGCCAGGGGGGGGATAAGGTGGAAGGGGAGGAGGGAAGTAAGGAAGAAGGTGAAGTGAAGGCAGCGAAACCAGGAAAGGAGAAGGGAAGAAGAGTAAGAGAAGAGAAGAGAAGGAAGAGAAGAAGAAGAAGGGAAAAAGGTCGAGGGGCTGGTGGTAAGAGGGTGATTCTTGCCAAGAGACACTAGTGGTTGTGCAGCTCTTCGAGCCGTAAAGTGAGCGTCCAGGAAGGCACGGAAAGGCTGAGATGGCGGTCGTCCGGCGCCAAGTCCCCCCAAGACAGCCAGCGTTGTCGCCAGGAACGGACTAGTCCCAGTGGGGCCAAATCTGGAGTCGTGTCCGCGGGTATTTACAGTTGATATTTTCCGGCCGGACACCGGAAGTCAGGTAGTCAGTGAGCATGATATTATTCTTCTATGGTTTACGATGGTTGATTACTTATGAACCTTCTTGAAATCGTGGTTATTTCTTCCTCTATTCCTGGATCTTGTTTGATCATCTACACTGATCGCTATCATCATTCGGCTCATATCCGAGTGACAGTGGACTCTGAGCATGAGTAGAAGTTGAGAATGAAGAATTTTAATAATAGATTCAATCC